TACTGAAGAACATTAATGATAAGAATAAAGTGCATTAGGCGTGTCCCATATTTTCAACTAACAAAATATCAATGTTACAAAACAGGAAAAAAATTATCTTACTTTATTCATAATGGTCTACTTTTTACATGCTTTGGAGTAAAAAGTAGTAACGTAACGGCGTAAATTTGATAACACTAAACACTGTTTTAAATTTTTTTTCCTTTAACATACATAATATAATTTTAGAATAACAATTAGTGTAGAGAATTAAACGTACGTTTTTAAAATACATACGAGGCGCCACTCCGTGCAAAATCAACCATTCCCTTCAACTTTGTGATTTTTTTTTATATCCGTGGTTGAACAGCCGACCCAATTTTGGGTTTACGACTACTAAATGTTCAACTCAGTAGCCCTGTAATTTTGAACCAATGCAGAAGACAAGGAAACTCCTGGATCAGTACCCCCAGAGGTATTGGTTTGTTATGGGAACATGGAGGGCTTTGCGACTCGACAGATTTAACGTGCATCAGTCACCATTAAACTTTGTGATTGAAATTTTTTTTTAGCAATCGTAGTATTTACAAAATAGGAATTCTAACTAAAAAACAAGAAATGTAACAAGTTTGTAAGAAATGAACGCCAAAAAAATATTCAGTTAAACTATTTTAAGATTTCTTAGCAATTTTTTCGTAAAAAAATTAACCAATTTTTTGATTTTTTTTTTTATAATATACTGAATTTGAAAGAATAATAAATAAAAAAATTTAATGACATATTTTCTTCCTAAATAATGCATATCTTTGTGTCTCTGTAACTGTTAGCAATAAATTGATGCAATTAAAAGAAATAATCGAATGTCAATTTTCCATAAACTTAAATTTATGAGTGATTTCTAGAATTTACGTGAACGATAATCCAGATTGATTTTTATCATCCAAAAAATAATAATAATAACAGGAGGAAAAACTCTTTGATGAAAGCATTTTGCGCTATCTCATTCACAGACAAATTTCATGAGGAGAAAGCAGTAAAACATTAAAAAAAAATTATGAGAAATCTATGATTCATCAAAAAGAGAACAAATCAGCTCATGCCATTAATTTATCGTTAACTGTAACAGTTCTATAGATGTAGGCTTCAAAAATGATATTAATGCATAACTCGTTACATTGGTTCTATAATTTATGACGATATGACGATGTCAAAAAGATGTCTGCCGGGGGAAATGTAAAGAGGGGGAAGAAAACATAGTGTCTTGAATTTAAATCATTTAGGTGGAAAACGTGAGCTTACTTAAATCTCGTGACATTGTTGTTTGGCGGGGTGACCAATCACGTGTGACGTGAGATGGAAAGTGAATTTTTTGGTGTCATGCCTTCCTCGAGGCCAGGCTCTGTTGCTTTAACTATTTCTGCTGTCTCATAGAAGGATGAATGTCTGCATTGGGGTAAATAACCCCGATATTCTGATTACGTACCTGGGTGCCAGGGGCAAAGGTGTTACCAGGAGGTAAAAAGCATATCTCTGAATCTCAGGTCAAGTACTTGTTCTTGAGAAATATCTGTAAGAAATTACCAGTTCTTCAAGACGCTATTCGATTTATTCGTATTTTAAGTGAAGCATCTTCAGTTCTAGGAAATAAATATTTGATATCAAGAAAAAATGCAAACCTTTTATTTTCAGATTGGCTATTAGAGATGAGTAAAAAAACGTGATTTTTTTTTTATTGATAAAGGAAATTTCATGAAGAGGAAATTCCTTGATATCCAGTTATAGATAGCATTTATTGCTTTCTTTTATAAAAATGCAAGCCAAATAAAAAATTCAGGTACATAACAAACACTTTTTTTAATACAATCAAGCACAAGCTTCCTCTATATCAATCTGTTCGACAAAAAAAAATCATTTTGCTCTCAACAATGCCTGAGAAAATCGTTATGTGTAAAATGTAACTTTATTTTAAAGAAAAAATTGCGTTCTCTTTGTCTGTGAAGTTATTTGTATACTACCTTGTTTCTTGACAATTTTTAGTCGCAAATATTGGTTCAGTTTGTTAATCTATTAAAGCAAAAATTTTGAAACCATGAAATATTGGAAAATCTGGAGCTCGAGGTACCAAAACTTCTCACATAATGACATGTAATTGTATCTTCTTAAAAAGTTTTTATTATAAATGTAGGTTTGGTAACAGCATTTTAGCATAAATTTAGGTTATATAATGAAAATTTGCTTCCAAGATTTATTTAGTCTTTAATTAAGTAAAATGATTTTATTACCACATTTCCCGTATGATAAGAATTGCAGCCACATTCTGGTACAGTAATAAGCAGCAAAAAATGCTTGACCACGTCTGAGACAGGGGTCAAACTAACTGCTTTCTGTCCATTACTCATACACTTGGCGAGTCGTTTCTTTAGCTGCTTATATGAAACTACTCAAGTGAAAGTATGATTAACTCTTGCAGCGAGACTTAATAATAAATATCTGTCTGTGATACTATTTTTCTCATTTGGATAATTTCATTTTCATTTTTATGTTATGTTATGTCTATAGTAAAACTTTATTCGTTATTTCTGATTTTGGGGGTCTGATGATATAAATTGATAATATATAACTAGACTAGATCTTTGGAAAGAGTGCAAGGAATCAAAATTCTTTCTCTTTTTATCGAACGTCTTGGCAATTATTTAGCTATCAAAACTACACTGAAGAAAGCACATTTATAATGCGAAATGTAAAAAAGATAGTCCATTGATCTACATGACAACAGGAGAAAAAAAAAGAATTTTATTTTATGGAAATGCAAATGATATTTTTATTACTAAAGCCCGTAACTCTATCCAGGATTCTAATAATGCACAGAAGCCTGTGAGAGTCAAGCACTAGGTCCTGTTTTCAATTGGGACCCTAAATTGAACTTTATAAGTAACTGTTTTATAGTTAAATTATGTTAAGACAAATAATAAGAATAATTATAAGATGCGGTCTAGTAAATGAACAAAACTAGATTTTTTAATGTAAATAAAGGTTTTGAAATAAAAATTTGCATTTTCTGGTAAAGGGGGTACAAAAATTGCATACAGGATCAGATCCTAACTGAATCATAGTTGGGCCCTGTCGCGATCTGCCAACGTTTAAATTTAACCTTCTTTTTACAAAATTTCATAACGGAAAGTTAAAATATTGCATCTTTTCCCTAAGCCAGCATTAAACTAATTTATGAACAAATCACTCTATCGAACAGGAACATTTTATTTTTATTGAGACCTACACAATTTTGATAATACATAACCAACTTAAAGATCATTTAACCTATAAAATCTCAAACCTCAATTGAATCATGAAAATAGTTAGCCCTTTTCAGATAATAGTGCAATGTCCGTTATGTAATAATTGAACTCGAAACTCGTAAGATCAAAAACCGGAAGAATGTTTCGAGGATCGAGATCTCGTTCAAAGATCCCCAGGGCTCCATTTTCTCTTATCGAATCTAAGGCACGTTTAAAGTCATACATAATAGAGAAAGCTAAATACTCTCACGCTGAGACCATATAGAAAGTCTAGAATTTAATTATTTATGAGAGCCCTTGCTATAAAAGCTATTTGAAATCAGTGATATCTACTTTCGCAATCACTTCCTCATTTTTGGGTGAAAATGAAAAACAAAGGTAAACAGAATCTGCCTTGGTAATGATTAAAATAAAGTGAATTTAAAATAGGGAAACAATTCTTTACTGTCTTGTATTTCATTTAGATTTCGGTTTTAAAATAAATTCAAGATTTTGAAATGCATAGTGCGCAAAATAGAAAACGAACCTCCCTGAATAACTTTTGATCTATTGATCGGATCTTCACGCTCAAAGACTCAATCTTAATTGCTCAAAAGTGTGACCTCAAATATGCTAATTAATCAGTGCAAACGATATTTTAAGTTACGAATTCTTACACAAAAAAGTGCTTTTTCTGAACAAACGTACCTTTTTTATCATTGCAATTTGATATCTCATTCCTGAAATGTAGGGGGTAATCTCAATCTGGTTAACATGGTCCCAATAGCTTGGTCTCGTTAGCAGTCCATAGTTTGAACCCCTTAATGCTAATTTTACTCTTTGCATATTTCACTATATCTGACGAACTTTTTAGACTAACTGAAAAATTAATACGCATAATTACAAAGCTCTTTTGTCCAAAGATAATTCCATGCAAAATAAACATTAAGTAAAGATTTATTATTTTATTTATTAATAGAGAAAAAGATTTTGAATAGTAAGATTATACAATTTTTTACATAATTTTAAAGAATGCAATTTTTACATAGCGAAATACGAAATTTGATTCATTTATTATTTCTGATTCCTTCTGATGCCCATGTACTGCAACATTGTAATCCGCAACAAAACAAATCTTCATAGGTGTCGGTTTCTTTAAGATTCATTAAATTAATATTTCATTCATAACACTCTCATGAGTGGAACATTTAATCTATGCACAAATGTCGAATAATCCTGGGCTTCTTTTTGAATTGATTGTTCAAGCGACTTAAAATTAAGCATTTTCTCTTATTTCTGTGGTCAAAAATGGTTTATAAAGGAAAAGAAAAAGATACCTGTGAACATTTTCAAACCTTTAAATATTGATAAAAAAATTTAACTTTCGGTTTGCAAAAAATTGCGAGCCAACGAGAAATGTATTCAGCTAATTCTATTGTTCTGAAATTCTATTGAACTTCAACGTTAATTCTGAAATCAGATTAGAAAATGCTGGGTTATTTTGCGATAAAAAAATCTTAGTAAAGAGCTTTGACTAATCAAGTCGCCCACCTAATACAAGCAAAAATTTGTTACAGAAAAATAATGCTGTGACTTAAACACTTGCTTAGCTGCCTACTTAAGCTTAATTCCATATTTCTAAAAATTTAGCAATTCATAAAAAATAAAGCGATTCTTTTATAAACATTTCTCCATTTTGTTAACTTATTTTGAAAAAAACTAAAGTGCACATTTTATTTTTTTCAGAAATCCACCATGGTGGAATCGTCGTACCAAATTAGAAAGGACACTATGTTTCCTTACGGTAACATCTCTTTTGATGTTGGCAGTAATGGCTGCAGCATTGGCTGTATTTGGCTATCTTTACCAAAGAAATATAGGTAAGTATGTTGAACAAACTGTGCTTTATTTGTTAGATTGATAAAACGAAGTTTGGTGATTTCCTTGATAGTCTGGTAAAATTACAGTACTATATGGTAATGAGATTTCTGTTTAAAAAAAAATTTTAAAAAAGCAATTATGGTTCATAAAACCAAAATATACGGCATTTAAAACCATTTGGTAATTTTTTCTTTCATATGGAAACAATTTATCCGAAATTCTGATTTTCAAAATTATAGCTCTTATTACCATACATTTTGTAATACCACTCATTTAAAACTGAAAATTATATTTAACCGAATGAATTATTTTTATGCCATGCCTTGAAGTATCATGATAAAAATTACCTAATTTTATCACCTATTACAAAACTGTATTGTATTGTTAATTTTACCAAAATCATTATTAAAGCGCTTGAGTAGAAATTACCGAACTTTTTGTGTTCCTTTAGAGCCAGAAAGACGGTAAATTTCATTACATTCTGGTAATTTTTATTATACTTTTTTTTTCAGTTTAGCCATTAGTTTGTTTAAATCTATCTCAATGTTGTCCTCTCGCTAAAAACATGGCGAAAACTATATATAGTTGCACCATCTACTAATAATAGACGAAAAAACATATGTTACTCTATTAGAAGTGATCACGAAAGATATCGTGTAGTCTCTTTACAAAAATCTCCAAAAAGTAATTTTACTTGACTTTCATAAAATGAATGATTGTCTTAGTATATTATATGATTTTTAGTTTCTTGTTTTTTTTTCATAGCCATTTCCTCTTTTTCTCAAATACATTATATATTTACTTACTGTCTCCAAAAAGAAAAATGGTAAACATACACTTTCCAAAATTAGAAATCTCAACATCTCACTAATCTCTAATGCGTTGTATTTATATTCAAAAACATACATCAAATATCTAATGACTTTTTCATAGCTTTAAACCGAGTAGCGGTTGTGAGGTTTGGCATTTGCTTGCATTTACTTTTTTTCAACCTTAGTAATAAGTACCGATATCGTGCAGCCAAAAATGTTTATAAAAAGCTTGTGTCGTTACTAATTATTCTCGAGAAAGCTAAAAAGTTTAAGTAATAGGTATAAACAGAAATATAAAAAAAAAATTAATCGTTAACTAATGAGGAAAAGACATTTATTCATGCATATGAATCATAAAAAATGTCATATTGTTATTGACGCCAATTGATGCCTAATTTATTTCGATAATGAGTTCAAATTGAAATGAAAAAATTAGTTTTGTATTAAAAAGCTTAATTAGAGGAAAAAAGATGATTCTTCATCTAGAAAAAACTCAAAAAAATTCCCATTATTATTGGAGCCAATGATGCGTAATTAAGTTTAATAATGGGTTCTACTTTTATTACGTTGTTTGGTGCTTTTTAATAAGTGCTAAATATACTAATGTTTGGACCAAAACCCCACTGTGAAAACAGATTTTTACGGTCCACAGAAAGGGAGGACATACATAGGAGAAAATTGTTGACATAATTTTTGACAATCAGGAGTTGAAATGTTTTACTTAATCTGATAACATAAAGCAACAGAGAAGGGTAACAAATAATGGAAATAAGAAAAAATTGGAATTGTTTTAGCGAAAGTAATTATGTCGGTATATGTCTTTAAGCTTTGTGTGTGATTTCACAATGCTGATTAATNTTTTTCTAATGTTTTATGGTCCTTTGATTTTTTTCCCCTAAATAAGTTTTCTTAAATATCTTAACTGTTTGCGCTTTGGTAACTTCAGTGTTCTTTTCTGAAATATATATTTGCTGTTTAGACCTTAATAACTTGATTGTTGATTTTGATTTTATTTACTGTTGGGACCTTAGTTTCTTTTATTATCGTAAATATATTTGCTGCTTGGGCCTCAACATCTTTATGGTACCAAATATTAAAATCTATGTAATCGTTACTTGCTGGATTCTTAATTTTGTTACTGTTCTTTTTTTAAATATAATTGTTGTTCGGCTCTTCTTCTATTGTTCTTTTTAATAAATATTTTTACTCTTGGGATCTTACTTTTTTATTGTTCTTTTCAAATATTTTATTGTTAGGTAGGGTCTTAATATCTTAAATACTGAAATCCTAATACATATCTCTAATGTTCATTTTCCTAAATATTTTTTTCTGTATGAGCAAATACAATGTTAATTATTTGAAGTCGAAATACGTATTTTTAAGCATTTGTTATTCACTAGCTGTAGTTTGAAATGGATGGGAAAAAATTTATCCAACTAAAGGGCATATTTTTAAAACACCTGTACTTAAATGCATTTATAAGAGACACATTTTCGAAAAATTTAAAATGAATACACATATTTATTTTAAATTTTTTGTGCTGAAGTATAATTTTAAAATCTATATAAAATTTGCACAGAATTTTTCTATAAACCTTTTTAAAAAATTTATAAATTTTTAAAAATTTGTGAAAGTGCCGTTTTTAATTTTAAAATATATTTGAAACTATTATACTTTCAATCTAAAAAAATTTTGAATTAATTTTGATGAAATTTAATAAAATTATCCAGACTTATAATGAGTATTAGATTTTTTGCTATTATAAAGGTCTGAACAATTTCAAAAAACAAATTTCAAACTTTAAAATTTTTGTTTCTCTTTGTTATTTTCTAAGCAATTTATGTATCAAAATCAAAAATAATTTTTATATTTCCTAAACACAAACTAAAGTCAAATATTTAAATAATACGTAATCCAAATTTTATGAATTTATCTTTCATAATTTTTGAGATCAATTGTTTTAAAGTTGAAATAATGCGTCACATTTGAAGTTCAATGAGAGTAAAAAAAATTTCCTATCCTGTGTTATAATTAAAACACAACATTATTTTGCATTATATAGTAAGCTAATAGCTTTAAATTTTTTAAATAATAAAAAATATTTCACAATTCCATTTTAAATCTTGTACCCCCTTTAATTCATTTGCACATTTTCTTACCTTATCTTATCAAAATAAGTGATATCGTAAGTAACACACAAACTCCAGTATAAATTACAAGCATATGTAAATCAACCTTATTAAATATACATAATTCCACTTTTAAACTTTTATCATATTTTTCCCTACTTTTTTGGCGTATTACGGTTAAAAATATTTAATTTAGTGTTTCTAAATAAGTTTATCACAAAACTTAACAACAATAATAGTGAAACTTACAAGAAACTCAGTTTCTTATCTCCGTTTGTTGAGTTCAAGCCAATCGTGTAATTGTTGATAAACATTATTCGGAGATATAAAAGAACTGTTCCATGATAATATTACAACAACTTCCGCTGCTAACAAAGCTTTTCCCGTTTTAACTCATTACACAAATGTCAAAACCACAAAATTGTTTCCTCATATTTCTTTAATTAATGTTGATATTTTTAGAATAATCATGAAACAAATTAACAAATTCATGGATGATCTCATACGAGTATATATTTTAATTTTTTCTATAAACTTAATTAATGCTGTGAATATACGTAAGTATCTGTTTAACCTTTTTTATTTCTAATGACTTAATATAGTTTGTACGTTAAATGCTAATTCAGTATTCATTATTTATTCTTTCGCTTAATAAACGCTAAAATATTTTGTTATAAGCGAAGGAAATGTAAATATGCTTTATTTTGTCGTATTTTACGGGCTCAGGTAGATTGACCTAATGCTTTTTTTATACGAAAATAATTTTATAAGACGTAAAAGTTTGAACTGTAAATACAGTATAAAATAGGCTATTTTTATTTAATTTGTTTCCGTAGTTAAAATATTATCTTGTTTCAAATTTACTTTTTTCTCGAATACTTTTAACGCAGATATAGTTTTTAATGTGATAGAAAAAAAGTATGAATTTTGTTCCCTTTTTAATCGCTGAATCATACAACCTTCAATACGGCATAAATGTCAGAGATTCATTTAAGAATTAAAACCACGCTTTTTTAGAACATTCAAAACATTATGTATATTTAAAAGAATTTAAAAAAAAGCATATTTAAATTTAAAAGGAATATTTAATGCACATATATTTTTTTTAATTCAGAAGAATTAGTTTAAAAAAATCCTAAAAGTTGTGTTACTGCGATAGCATGGATGCTGATTTTTATGGGAGAGTAATTTAAAATTATATTCATGTTATAGAAGGGAAAAAAACATTGTCATTGAATCTAAAATTTATAAATTTTTCTATTTAAATTTAAATATACCATTATTAGTCAGGGCATTTTATTCTTTCATTAAAAATACGATACCTAGATTTATTAAAAGCATTATAAATTATTAATATTAGTGTGCGAAATGTATTCATCTATTCAATCAACAGAATATTTTTCTGTTTGAAATACTGTGCTTTTAAAAACGTAACTTCGTTTTGTTAAAATATATTATCAAACTATGAAAAGTAATAAATGTTTTAACACTTTTGAAAACAACAGTACCTGTTTCTTTTGAGCTGCTCCAGTGAACTGCATAAGTTCGCGTAAAACCAGGTTACGACTTTTATTGAAATAACAAATATTATTCAAATTACTGTTAAAAAAGAACTCTTAATTAAAATACATCCACTCATGATTCTGTTTTTTTCAACCGATCTCTTCACTTCATGTTAACTTTAATCCTTTATGTCAACGCAAGTAATAAGCGTATCGTTTTCTCTCAGATTATCGTTTTCTAATGTTTTATGATTAATACGGGTTTTTTTCCCACCTTATCCATTTGTTTGGCATGTTTTGAGAGTACTTTGCTCTTTTATTTAAAATACAACTCTTTGGTACATCACTAGTATTATAATTTATTTATATTTTAAATAATATTTGTTTAAAAAAATATATTTAATTAGCTTTCTGATTAAATATATTGATCACTTATATCACTACAATTTGTGAGCATATCGGTTTCTTTTTCTGATAATCGTTTTTCTAATGTTTTATGGTCCTGCAGTAGACTGATCGTATGACACGGTTTCCCGTAGATCAACGAACTCAAGCATCACTGACTGCAGTCGGTAAGCGGGTGGGTGACCAATGTGATCAGTCTGCGAAGGGATCGAGGGTGGGGTATCGGTCCTCGCTAAACTGTTCTTCGGTAAAGTGCTAGGCTTCGATTGCTTATCGTAGAGTTACCAAAGCGAGGTAGGCAACTCCTCTGCTGAGAATCTAAATTATGATGACAAGTCTTCGGTTCATTCTCAGGAATGTTTCTCACACCGACGCCAATGGCTCATTGCACAGCTCTAGTGCGACAAAAATAAAGTACTACTTCTACTATAATGACTTATAACTAATATTGTGTTGTTTTTTTTTTTTTTTAGATTTTATTTCACCTTAATATTTACATCATCAATAATTCTGGTGTTCTTTTATTAAAGCTACAATATGTTGATTTATCATTATTGAACATTTCATTAATAACTTATATGCATTGTTAAAAATTTCTCGGAAAACATGGTTAAATAGCAATTTATTTGTTATTTTACCGTATTCAAACGAAGCAGTCAAATAACCATTAATAAGATAGTAATCAAACTGTGACAACATCCGTTTATTATCTGCTTTCACTTAATACGATTAAACAGCCAGATTCTTATAACACCAACTAAGCACACCTTATAAAGCCACTTTTAGTTCTTTGCAACTGCGTACATATTATAACCTGTCGGCTATAACTCATGACTGACAGAACATGTTGATTGGATCCCAGAACATCCCAGCATTGACACCACAATATTTCCTCAATTCATTTCAACGCATCCAGCACTCTTCAACGCCCATTACCTAACGAAAAGCCTAGCTCATATGTCTAGTTAAATTTCTTTTTTATGGTTTTAAAACCAGGCTAGTTGTAAATGGTTAAAAAACGGCACAGGTAAAAAAAAATTTTTACCGTAAACTTCACGGTTAATCGGATGACCAGATTACTAATGGTTATTTTACCATAATTTTCGAATGATAATTCTAAAAGTGTGTTAGTGTTATGGTTATTTATTCAGTTATTTTTGCATTTTTCTTAATTATTTCTGTTAATATAATTCATAAGCATATTATTATCTTTCAGATTCAAGAGAAACTATATTCGTTCCTTCAAATGCAGAAAGATTTGTTAGAAATGAAAATTCATCAGACATGTCTGATATTTGTTTAACGCCAGGCTGTGTAAAAACAGGTACAAGCAGGTTTTAAAACTTTTGTAATTTCTTCTCTAGAACACACTATTAGGGTTTTAGAAATTTCAAGGCTTTAGCAATTTTCCGAAACACATTCTCTTTAGTTGTAAGTAATTCAAATTTAATTAGTTCAACATTTTATGACAAAACATAAGCTGAATTCTATTTTATAAATATGAAATATACAAATATGATTCAAAGAAATGCCAAATTTATGATTCTTTCATATGTTTTAAGAGTATTTCTAGTTGTTTTGATCAAAGGAGAATTCTTTTAAAATCTTAATATGGTATTAAGAACTTTTTATGTAATTTGCTGTAGGTCTTACAAAGAATTTTATAGAAAATTATACAAGACTTCGTTCCAATATACCAAATCGCACTTTCATATTTTCCAATTGTAATCAATTGTAATTTTTAAATTACAAATTATCAAACGTGTATTTATTAAACTCGTTTATGGCATATTTGAAATAGCTTATTCTGAAAATAACATTACCAAAAAAAAATTGCATAGCATTAATTTACAGTTTATATAGGGTAAAAATGTTTTCTATTTTTTTATAAATCAAAATTAATTTTCTTGTTATTTTTTTTATTTTTTTTTTATTAGCATTAGATTTTTACTTTTATAAAACCAACTTCTGATAATTGCTTGACGGTATAAATATTATATTCCTTTGTATTTTTAATCATCAGCAGTGAATATTTGATTTCTACTATGAGTAAAAAAATTAACTTTTTTATGTTAGTTTAAGTATTTGCATAATAAATATTAGAATTTGAACTTTGACCATATTTTAAACGCTCTTTTATTTCATATATCCATAGTGCCCAAAAAAATGAAAGGGAACACCCTGAATTACTTTTGATCTAATAATTGGATCTTCAAGTGCTGGAACTCAATCTTAATGTTTCGACAGGGTGACATGCTAATTATTTAATACAGACGATTTTTTAGTTTCGAAATAAGACACAAAAACGTACTTTCTCTGAATAAGCATGCACTTTTTTCTTAAGATTTGGGTTTTTGACCTCTGAAACATAAGGGGTTGCCGCAACCTGGGAGATATGGTCCCATAATTTGGCCAGCAGAGCTGTTCCAACTTTAAAGCCCTTAATGTTAATTTTATTTTTAGCATATTTCTCCATGTCTCAATAATTTTTTAAACGAATTGAAAACTTTTTGCGCATAATTATAAATTGTGCTTATCCAAAGATTTCATGCAAAAAATAATTTTTAATAATTATTTATTATTTTATTTAGTAATAGTCAAAAAAATTTGAATTGAAAGGTATAAAAATTTTTACATCATTTTGAAGAATGTATTTTAATGTGGCAAAATACAAAATTTGAAAGAAGTCGGTTTAAAAAGTGGTTTAATATGGCCATCGGTTTAATATGGGCATTAATATACCATTAAATCAAGTAATTATCACTTATTTGTTTTACTGACAAGAAAAATGAAATTAGCACTTATCTTTTAAAATCTTTTATTGGGTATATTTTAGATGATAATTTAATTCAGAAAAACGCTACCTCACACTTACCGTTAAAACAAAATGTTTCAGTAAATTTCTAATTTTTTTTCTTCCAAAATGTGATATTAATTTTTCAGTATGATGCATTATTAAAAGTAAACACTGATTGTAAACACTTATATCTGAACACTGAATTTCAGCTGCTGAAATCCTTCAAAACCTGAACGAGGATGCAGATCCCTGCGACAACTTCTACAAATTCGCGTGCGGTGGTTGGCTGGACAAACATGCTATTGCTGACGACAGGTCTTCTGTGTCTGTGTTCTCAGATGTTCAAGATGAGCTCAATCTTAAACTAAGAGGTTTGTTAGGTCGTTTTTCCTTTATTTCAGAAATAAAGTTTTAAAGAGAAAAATGACAAGAAAAATTGTACCAAATTATTTTCTACTTTGGCCGTTTTTATATGGAAAAGTTTTATACTTCCCTTGAAAATAATTAAATCAAAAATCAGTTATAAATATATTATTAAATGTATTATTTTAATGAAGTTGTTATGTATTTTGTGACTTTATAATTTAACTACTAGGCTATATACGTAATCGTGAACAATAGTGTAATAGCTCTGGTGAATCTAAACATACAACAATCAAGACGTTTAACAATCCTCGTAAAATTGATAGTTTTGTTTTGTGTGCTGTCGTAAAAAAATCGCCTAAAAATTTTATTTTTTTAAGCGAAAATTGTGTAATGCTTAAGCGATTGTATGAATGCCATCTCATTATATATCGCGTTCTTTATACCACGCTATTATCCTCATATCTATCATAATGTTATGCTATTAGAGTGAATATTATCGTATGTAGTCATTATTATCTAATAAAGTTAAAAAAAATTTAAAACTTATGTTCTAATATTTCAATAAAAAAAATATCTCTTACTTTAAATACTGTATATTATCAAAGAGTGTATTATTTTCTGTCCTAAATATCAATACGACACTGCTACCTTTTTTCACATTGCTTTAAACGCTTAGCAATCTTTCGATCATTTTTCAAATACAACGGCTAAGAAAAAGTTACTTTCTTTGTAATAAAACGATCTATTAAACTCTGTGCTACATTGTGAAAATATTTTTTGCTTTTTCATTCATTTAAATTTTAAATTACGACTTATAATAATAAGGGTGTGTATAATAATGATATTTATAAGATGCAAATATTTTCATTTATTGTAAACAAGGATTAGAAACTATAAATTAAGGGCGGTAAATCCCAAATACTGCGGTCATTAGCAATAACTGCTATGTAATGTTCTTTTTTAACTTCTTCATTTACTTTTTAAATTATTCTTTCAGCAAGAGAAAAAGTGCTATCGTAATTTTGTAATCTGGTTATGCTTTTTTGAAGGAGTATCATTAAAAAATGGGACTATAATCACCCCAATATCTTTATTTGTTGAACTTAGCGCCGCTGTATTAACCTTTCACGTTCGCGTAGCATCCTCAGCCACTAAAGCTTTTTTACTGTTCCAATAACGTATTTGCTCTTAATCACCCAGCAAAGAATAATATTGATCATAAATGTTGTACAAAGCTATTCACCTATGTAGACTTTTTAAATAAAATAGATTAACATTTAGGTGTATTGTAATATATTTAAAATAGCGTTCACCTCCTTAAAATAAATTATGTTTTCTTTATTATCCTGCATATTATGTTCGTCTACAACAAAAATTATGGGATAACGACCGTTACTAATTGACATAAAATTTTAATGTAGGAGAAAATAAAGAAATGGGAAAATACTAATGGATTTCACAATTAAATATTGTTATAATTTATTATCAAATGATAATTTGTTTTCGTTCAAAAATAGTGCCAGCAGGAGGGGCGACGATAGGATAATTCAATGAATGCAATGGAAAAATTTAATAGGCTTTTTTTTTATTATTTATTTTCTTTTTTTTTTTTTTTTTTAATTTANTTTTTTTTTTTTTTTTTTTTTTTATTGTGAACCTAAAAAATTGTTCTCCGATTTGGCAGTCCTTTTGTAGAAATTCTTTCATCGCCTCTGTTTTAAATATAGGTAAATATAGTAAGAGCTTTGTTATTTTGTTTCATCAACAAAGTACGCATCTATTATGACGTATTTTCGTGTCGAGTATTTTCGTGTCTAGTCGTTTCGTATTTACGCATTGGCAGGGTTGAAAATAACGCTTACAAAATTGTGCAATCGTTTTGATCACTTTATATGTTTTTTGCCAGCTTACCAGTAGTATATTTCGAAATAGAATTTTTCATCATGCTTATTTTTTTTGAATTATTTATATGCTTTACTTAAATTTGTTTAAAACAGCAATTAAAATAAATATTTTGTTTCAGTTCTGCTTGATAAGCAATCAGATGGGTCAGAACCAAAAACAGTCAAAATGATCAAAGATATGTATGATTCCTGCATGAATTTAAGTAAGTAAAGGTTGGATATTTCACAATGCAATTGTAAACAAATGAAATATGTCATAAAACTAGATTAAGTGCTACTTACAATTATTACATTCTTCCTCTTATTCCACCAGTATCACAGCCAAATGGAAACGATTAGTTGGGACGGATCTGGCATGTATTAACAGGCCAGATCAGTTCCAACTAATCGTTTCCATCTGGCTCGATCACATGCTAAGTTTCTCCATCTATTGATGCGCATGGTCTTGAGATCTTTCTCCATATAATCAATGCATCTGGTGTTTGGTCTTCCCCTTTGTCGGTTGCCAGTAACTTTTCCAAAAGTTTACCATTGAAGTCCATTACTACATTATTACAATAATTCTTTATAATATATATTTATAATACATATTTATAATATATATTTATAGCATATATTTATGATATGAAAAAAATTCCCACTTAAAAAAAATCATCGAATTATGAAAGTTCGCATTTCTTATCTTTTACAAGATTCTTACACTGAAACTAGACTTATTTAGAAAAAGATATCCAGTCTTCTTAAACAGATATTCAGTTCTCTGATATAAATGCATACCTTTCTGATCTTTATTTTAAGGCTACCATTTGATAAGCTGCACTGTATTAAAGCATTTGAGAAGTAAGATGGTTGTTGTGATTCATTTGTAAAATATATTAAAGGGTTTTTCGATGGCCTTTGCCAAAAAAATAAAAAAGAATTTTGAAAAATTAAAAGTTCAAGTTTATAAAATTTTAAGCAAAGTTATTATTTTAAACTGTTTATACCGTCTTGCTAAAAGACCTAAATATAGCTTATTTTAATAAAAAGTTATTAAACTTAAAAATATTGCTGATTAGAACATATTTTACCCCTTAAATGAAGGGAAAAAAACTGAAAATCAATGAATAGTTCTGAAGTTTTACTTAAAGTTCAAATAGGGCAGTTTTAGTGTAACTTTTCGAATGTTTAAAAGTATTTTTCATACAATGAAGCAACAGTCTTCGAAGTTGACTCAAGTTAAATTACTAAAATTTGTTAATAAAATGAGATACCTGAATAAAAAAGATTTGAGTATGTATGAGTTGATAAAGAGAGATATTTTTAGTATTCCTTAGATCACTGATACATAGACACCTAACTGACCTATGATCTCAGGGTCAGTTGCTTGTTTATAAACATGAGAGCGTGTTAATAATCTGAATATTACTGGCTAAGGTCGAGCTAAGATCCTCCACATAAGTCAAAATGTTAATTGACATGAAGTTGATTAAATATAACGCTGTATTGTATACTGAATTTGCTATGATAATTTTTCTTTATCTTTAATCTAATAAATAATTTTTTTTTATCTTTGTCTTTTATTTAATCTAGATTGATTATTTTTTATACATTTTATCGTAATCCGTGACTCTTTTATTGTAACGTGATTACTTTTGTTTTCTGCATCTGGGAATTTCGTTGCATAATTTATGTCTATGTCTCACATGGTCTATGTCTTACATAATGTATGCCATGATCTGGTCATGGTCTATCTCATGGTTTTATGTCTATGTCTGTCTTATAGTTTACGTCTTACATTTCTTCATGTCTGTCTTTTTCTTAAATAAGAAATAAACCAAATCTTTCTTCGAGAAAGAATGTAGAATGTGTCACTTAAGAGAATTCATACTTGAACAGCAACGTAACAAATGTCACGCTTCAACAGCCAATAAGGATGTTTACATACGCTGACGTCACTTGTAGGTATCTCATTGTAAATGCTCATATATTATGGAGAAGCATATTGAAAAATTAATTTCAAATGCTACAATCACAGTTTCTTGTTCTGAAATGTTTTCTTCGCCAAGTAAACAAGTAAATAGTTAACAACTATTGTTAAAATTTATAAAATAAGCCTAGCAGTTGCATTTTTGTGAAATTTATGAAGAAAAAGGGATAGTTTTGGAATAATCAATCAATCAATTCTACAAAATTCACTGATGGTAGTAATTTAGACGCATTTTTTAATTTAAAATGCATAGCCGCAATTTAACTTACTTTAGCATGATTTAGGGAAATAAAACATTTCGCTTCTCATTATTCAGTTCTTAGTCATGTCAATATGCAGTACATTAATAAATGTATCGAAATATTTCAGTTTGTGAATTAACTCGTTTTTTCGGTTTTTACAGGTTTAGTTATATAAGAAAGAAAATGTCTTTTTTTAAATTTAAACTTGGCCTATTTTTAGCATGCCTACTTCTGTTGCTACACTTTTTTTGCGAAAATGTCGACAGATTGTGCTTCTCAGTGTATATCGATCGCCATAACTGCCTTCTTCGGCAAATCTCAACCCTCGTGAAGAAATATAAAAAACGAATTTTATGTAAATAATCGTAACCCTAAACCTTCACTGAGATCAAAACTGCGATTTATGATGTAATAAAAAAGCATCGATGCCTCGAAACCATACAAGTCAAAAATATGTCATATAATTACTTAAAAAATATGCAGCATTATTTGTACTCAGTAGTTTTATGTAACTCAATAACTGTCATCCTGTTCTTTCATTGGTTGAAAAACTTTTTTTTTAAATAAAAATTTCGTTACTGTTTTTCTACAGAGAGTATCGAGAAGTCTGACAGCGAGCCACTACAGAAGGTGCTGAAAACTTTAGGAGGGTGGCCAGTGGTTGTGGGAGAAAATTGGGATGGGTCCAACTTTGACTGGATGGAAACTCTTTTTGCGTTCCGGAAACTTGGTTACAGTCATGATATTCTCGTCGATCTATCAGTCACAGCAGACTACAGGAACAATACAGTACACATCATCGATGTAAGCAATAATTTTTTTCCAACTCACTATTTAATTATCTACACTAAAGTAACCCATTACCCAGCTACCATTTGAAAATTAGTCTAATATGTTATAGAGAAATGTCAAAATCACTTCGTACTAATCCTCTACAGAAATAAAATTATTTATGTATACTTTATATTTGTATAATAAGCTTTCCATTTGCACAAGGATGTACAAATAGAAAACTAAAAAAGTTACTCAATATTGTTGAAGTAAAAAAATTTTTAATTATGAAATTCCAAACATTTAAAATTGTTCCAAAACATTTGGAAATTCAATTTTATCGTCATATCGTAATCTGTATGGTCAACTCCTAGACTCGAAAACTCATTTCCACACCTTTCGCATTAATAATCAAAAACATATTACTAAAAACAAAAAACATCAGGAGTGCTGACACAAGCAAATGATCTCAGTTAATAAATCGAAATTTATTAAATCTTCTTCGTTCATGCGAACGTTTTACCCACTCTCAGAACATGCTTGAAAGTTGTGTTGGAGTGTTTATTCTTTAGGATTCTTAATGAATTTTCCACTATTAAATCAATGAAATCAAATTGATGACCGAAATCGAATTTTTAAACCGTTGAAGTAAGATATAGTCCGCTACTTTTTTTCAGCGAATGTTGAACTTGTCAGATTGTATTTGTTGACTTGCCAAGAACTCATGAATGATGATGGCAACCTGGTACAATACCCTTGAGCGAAACACATTGTTTATCTACAATGTCTATTGTTTTTGCTTTGCGCAAACAGCGCAAAACGACAAATTAATTCATAATATTTTTTCTGGTTAGTGCTTTTCAAAAGGTGGAATTTCGTATCGAAGGAAACTAAATATTACTTTGTTTTTCGATTAACTTTTTAGTGCTACTATTATTAACTTCATTGCTGTTAAACAGTGTTATTAATGTCAACAGTTGTCTTTAAAAACTTTTATGCATCAGTTTAAATGACGTCACATCAGAAATTCTATCCAGAACACAAAATTTAAGTCAGGTTTTTTTTTTCCAATTGTATTAGCTTTTTCAGAAAATTGACGGGACCAAAATTCTTTTCTCAACAAGAAGATATTTATTTTCGGAGGATAAAATGAAATAAACTCTAGATAATGGCAGATTATTATATAAGTTTTGAATTGTTTATGAGCGTTTCTAGTCATTGACTGTTATTTATATTTATTAAGTGAAGCCTACTGGACACTTCAGATTATTTTAACATGGCGTATCCGATTTCAATTTTTTATTTCAAGCAAAATGTTCTTATTAAAAAAAATGTTTTTCATAATAAAATTTCTTGTTGCACATAAAATGTTAATGATTTAGTTTAAAAAAATATTTGAAAAAAATTTAACAAGAATTCAATAAAACTCTCAGAATCCTTAATAAGAAAAAAACCTTTAAAGTTTGTATTGAAATCTAAGAGTGATTTTCGAAACATTAAACAGGAGCTTTTGAATACATTTAAAATTTTTCAGTTGAATATCGTCTACAATAAATTTTTATGTATCTTAGGAAAATCAGTGGAAATCATCGCCAATTACAAATTCAAAACGAGACAATCTGAATTCGAGGTACAGAATCCAATATGATTCTCAAAAATCCAATATAGCGTCAAAAAATAATGTTATTGAATTAGTCTCTCTTTTGCAGAATGATTTGTAAAAATCTGTGGTTAGATGATTAAAATTCAAAATAATTAGTTCCTGAATTCAGAATTGTTCAACCAATATGTTGCTCAATGAAATAAATTCGTAGTTTATCTTCAAAATTTATGAATTATGCTTCTAAATTTATCACGTATGAGACCAACCGTGGTCAGATATTTATTAATTAAATGAATTTTGAGATATTTTACTAAGGAATTGACACTAAATGTTTTATTATTAGATGTTTTATTATTAGATGTTTATTCACAAGTGTCCGACGTCATAACTCATCAAAATTTGCCACGATTTCTTTAATTTATGAATAATACACAACACAAGCGTTAGTTAATGCGGCACAAAGCGTGATACATTTATTTAGAATATTTAAAAAAAAATTAAGTTGTAATTCTTCAACAATTACTTTGTAATACATTACAAGCAAACTAATGATATAAGTTACAAATCTAATATTTACGCTTTTTACTTACAGCTGGATCAAACTTCCTTGGGGATGCCAGATAGGACATATTTAGTGAAGGGCTTAAACGACTCCTCCACTGAAGCCTATTTCAATTTGATGATCAAAACTGCCAAGAAACTTGGAGCAAATGAACAAACTGTTGAGAAAGAATTGCTGCAAGCCTTGAACTTTGAGATTACTTTAGCAAACGTAAGTGACTTTCGAGAATTTCATTCGATTCAATCGTATACTATACAGTGTTACTTTGAAGTGCTTTTAATTATAATTTTTCAATACACTGTAAAAAATTACAGAAACTAATTTTGACTCGACAAAAATGTTTCCTAAAATCTCAGAAGACTCCATTTAATATCATGTTTCTGAGAAATTGAGATACATTTCATTTCTTTTCAAAAGTAGGAAACTGAATCATATAGATGCTGATTCAGTTTCAGAGTGTAGCATAGCAACCGTGTAGCATACAACTATTAAGTTCCAATTCACTAGTATATAAGACATGTTATATAAAATGTAAAGTGAAGCGAAAGAAAGAAAATATAAGGGGAAAAAACACCTAAATTTGCAATAGCTATGGAACAAATCAGAATCTCAGAAAACCATAGAGTTCATTTCATTAATAAACTTTTTTCTTTTGAAACTTGATACATATTCTTTTCAACACGGTAAATTTCAATTTCGTAGTTGCATTTCTGCGGTCTGCAGAGCAGACCACCTGCAAGTCTAGCAATAAATAATTCCTTAACTAATTATCGAATGTATTTGTTTTTCTATTCCAACATACTCCCAATATATTTTTCTATAAACTTTCATAATTTCGAGTTTTTAAGCCTTTCAGTTTTTGCACAGCGAAACAAAATGTATTGTTGACTTGAATAACCTGAAACAACAGCGGTTCTAATGATTTTGGAATGAAATACTACTATTATATTGCAAAGAACCATAAAAGTTTAAATATTAAAATGTTGTTTTTTTTTCCTTATGAAATATTCGTTTCGACTCTTAAACACAGATCTAATTTTCCTGATTAATTGTTGAAAAGTTATTGCACCATTAATATTTTTTTTAAATAATCCATGTTTATGCCATGCCTATATTGCACAAAAAAAATTCTACTTATATTTTAAAAATTAAACCCAAAGTAATTTTTATCTAAGAATTAATAAATAATTGAGTTGACTTAAATAATTATTATGAGAATTTTGTTCTTTTGGTTTTTAAAGTAGTGTTTTTTTACTCTTATGATCTCTGATATAGTATTTTGATTAGCTTATTATTTGAAGTTTGTGCATTAATGGTAAATTAATATTGAAAATCTGAGAAAAATCCTTTGCTAATGAAAGAATGAAATTTTATATTTTAGTTTGTTAAATTATTCTTGCTTAAACTGTTTTAACTATAAAATGCAAATTTTATTTCAGTATTCATTACCAAGAGAAGAACGTAGAAATCTAAGTAGTATGTACAACAAATTCACACTTCCACAGTTGCAAGAACTTGTTCCAGGGGTAAGAATAACATTTCTTCTAAACTACTGGTTATTGTGTTTGTAACAAATTTCCGTCGTACAGATAAATAATGGTCTTTTTAGAATGGCGTTGCAAAGTCAAACTTATTGCAACGACAGTCCTAATATTAAGGATTCATCAGTAAATTCACCAGCTTTGGCTGTAGTGGCTAGAGCACCAAACTTCGGTCCGTAGGGACTGAGGGTCCGATCTTCGAAGCCGCTATGACCTACTTAGTACATGCGACATATGAGCTCGTAAAATCATCGAAAGTCATGTGGTAGGTTGCTGAGCAATAGCATGGGTAGAGGGATCTGGGGAAAATTTCCTTTCCCTTCAAATATATGTCTAAAATCTGGAAGTGACCTCACGAAAGTGTGGTGCTACTATCCATGGGGTTCTGAGTCAAGTCGCACATTCATCTTAGCTCTGCTCTCTTGTCGAACGAAAGATGCACCTTGCAGACTTTTAAAAAGACCAATGGCTGGCGCTCTTGGCTTGTCCATGCGTCACTAGAAACAATTAGTTTCCAATTATTCATTAAAATAACTTTGATCATTATAGAAGAATTTAATACCCCTCCACGTTTATTTCATAGAATATCTAGCTACTCAATACAGATTTTTATTTTCTATTCAAACTCAATAGGTACTTTTCTATATTCAACGATGCATAAATACGTTATACAATATTTAATGTGACTGCTTTCTAACTTAATAAATTGGTACAATAAAAAGACACAATAATCACTTAGATTTCAGCCATAAGAAATCTAAACTGCCAGATTAACACTAACACATAAGGACACCGAGAAAATACTTAAAATCTCAAGTTTCAAAAGAAAATAAAAACAAAATCAATAATAAATACATCGCATAAAATTAAAAATAAGTAAAATCAGCATAGTTATATAATTAATAAGCTCAAATACAACAAATCCTTTGTTGCTATAGTACCACTGTTTAATTACGTTACGATTTTTTTCCCAGCCAAGAAAGAAGCACAAAACTACCTCAAAGTACATCTAATTGTTGTTGTACTGAATAAACTCTTTAAATATAAAAAATTTTTGATTCTGTCAGATAAAAATACCTTGTCTATCAACACATGCTAAGTCTACGAAAAAAATGTCAGTTTCGTTTCATTTGGGAAAATTTTGACCAATCAGAGAATGTTACCCGTATGTTGTAACTCTCTAACAAAAAAGCAAGAACTCTGTGTTAGAATGATTAGAAAATTCTGAAAAATGACAGTAATTGTTTGATAAAAACGGGATTTTTAACAACGACAATAATATTCCAATCTCAGCTTTTATAATATATATATTTGGCTATTCTTATGTCTTCCGAATTTAAATTCTACCACATTAATTTAATCTTATACTGAAAAATTGTCATCGTCGTTTTTTTTTAAATGAAAGTGGTAGATGAAACAAAACAAGAAATTATTTTAAACAAAGCACTCGATAGTTATCAAAAAAGTTTTTTTTCTCTGAAACATACACAAAATACAACAAAAAGATAATTATTTTGCTAAAATCCTTTCCTTAAAATTAGAATTTCACAAACGTATTTACAAACCAATAACAAACTATATGTTTCTATTTTGATGCATTGTAGATTGATTGGCCCAAGTATTTTAATGGACTTTTGAATGATCCAATTACTGAAAATGAAACAATGATTGTATCGGTTCCAAAATTTTTGAAGAAATTTGGAGAGCTTATCGCTACGACGGATAAGAGGTAATGTTTCAACTTGGATTTCATTTTATTTTGCATATACTTTTAGGATAATGAAAATTAAATTTCCCTAAAAATTTACATAATTGCTCATTTTTCTTCCACGTGCTGGGTAAAAAGGAAAGTTACTTTTCTGAAAATCACGATTGATGTAATTACCCCACTTACTTAGTAATATTTCTAGGAAAGATTACCTATACCGATCAGAATAATTATGGATTATCATTAATTGTCAATTTTGGAGATTACAACGGAATAGAAGGCGATTGTCTTAAAACCTCTTCAGTCCTGGCAGAATAAGAAAGTAGGAGCTCTTCTCTAGGCATGCATGCTCCGAGTTTTTTTTATTCTAATACGCGAGTTTCGAATTGTGATCTAGTCCATGTGATCTTGCGCCACTGAAGTCAGAAAGACTCGTTTCATGTATGATACCGTAGGCCGTGAAGGGCCTACGGTATCATACATGAAAGAATGACATGTGGGTATCATACATGAATCGGGCTAAAGAGCCCTGGACGCGATCAGTTATATGTGATAACAGTCCTGAAGGGGTTAACGGAATATCGGCTTCTCACCACGAGTAATGTTTACAAATATTACAATACTTACCAGATACTAAGTAATCAGTAGTACATAAATATACATTGGTGCTATACCTCACTCTCAAAAATAAAACTCTCACTTTTGACGATTAGGCAATACTTGAGCTCTATTTCGCTAATTTTAAGAATCATTTCGTCACGAAATCACGTAACTTAAACACCGATTCTAAAATAAATGATGAAAATATTTTCTCAACTCGAAAACTCACCGTAGTGCATTGAGAGAGATTGTCAACTAGAATGACATAACTAGACGATTGAAAATAAATTAATGCAATAAGCCAACCACACTGCATGGCGGTCATGGTGTTGGTTTCGTACCAGTAAGATCCTGGGTCCGAATCCCGATTCGGACATGGGTGTAATTTAACTCTCTTCTATCTCTTCCTCTTGTGTTGTTAGGACGACATTCGTACACCTATATGATGCTAAAGATTAAGTGATTATTACTAGACACTCCGAGGTTATTTATTTTGGAAAAAAAAATTAGAATGACAAAATATTTCTTTATTTTTGACGAAATTCGTTTCCTTGAAGAAATGACAATAGTAATTTTGTCACTTTGGTGAACTTTTTACTTGGAGCATTTAGCAAAGTACGGTTTGCTGTGTTCTTCTTAGCAAACTACGAATTTTTCAAAGTCATAAAATTAGTTACAAATTACAAAAGTCATCTTTTAATGAGTTTTGTAACGTAATGACAATAGCTTAGTGAAAATCAATAGTTGTCTAATATGTTTTAAAATTATTAAATACGTATATTAAGTTATATGTTTAGTAAGTTGTATGTTTAAATGTTTTTTTTTATAGGATCGTTGCAAACTACATGTTATGGAGAGTTGTAGCACAGTCCTTGACTATGTTGTCTAAAGATTGGAGAGCTCTAGCTCAAGAATACAGTTCAGTTATTACTGGTAAAAGTCAAGAAGAGCCCCGTTGGGAACAGTGCCTTTCTTCGTTAAGCGGAAGCCTTGGGATAGCTTTGAGTTCATACTATGTGAAGCATTATTTCAAAGGAGACAGCAAACATAGGGTAAGAAGAATTAATCATAAATGTAGGGTATCCACGAAATTACTGAAACATTTTAATAAAATAACATTAAATAATAAAAAACACGAATTAAGAGAAAATTGTCACCATTTTCGGCAATGTCATTAGAAATTGTGAATTAAATAACATAATAATAATGTGCAATGAACTGTGGAAAAAAATACCCGTGTTCAAATAGTTTAATATTTTGCCACGTGAGACTACTCGGGGCTGAAGAACTAAATAAAAATATTTTTAATATTGCTTCCCCTTTGTAATAATAATGCAAAACCATAGAGCTTTGCATACATAATGTTCAATTTCGGCAAGAATGATTGGCTTTTGCTGGGACACGTCATCTTTCGGATGTCCTAAAAAAATTAAATCAAGGAATAAAATTTAAATAAAAAAAAACATATAATTGCTTTTCCAATAACAATGCAGCAAAAGGCACATTTTTAAAATAATTGTGTTATTATTATTTACGTTCAAAATGGGACAACTATTTAATGGACTTAAGTCTTTTTTGCTTAATTGCTCTCGATTTATGAACTGCATGCGTTATTTATTTTATATTTTGACTCTCTTTACTAATATTAATTATTTTTCAACTCTTAAAAATCATCTTTTTCATCTTTTGTGGGTAAATTATCATTTGTAGCGTAAATAAATTAATGTTTAGAATTCTTATAATTTTATACACTGTAAGTTATGTGTTTAAAATTGAGTCTCGAGAAAAAAATTTTTTTTTATTGAAATAATCAAATTTAAATTTTATAAGGCGCCTTTGCAGACTAACATCTTTACTACTTACTCATCATATATTAAATGATTAAAAGCATAGTTACCATTACAAAAAGCCATAAGTTTTTAACTACTTCGAAAATACCAGAAAACTTTTCAGCATATAGATTTTGTGATTTGCAAACATAATTGTTCAAAGTATCGATATCCTATAACAGGGGTGGCGAACCTTTATACACCAACGTGCCATTTTTTTCCAAAAAAATGTTTAATGAGGTCATAGACGTGCCGTCAAATAATTTTGACTTCGTGATTATTGGGAAAATAATAATACTAAATACTATCAACTCAAAACTCCTTAATTACATTGAAAAAAAAATATTTTGCTATGTCTCAGTTATACGCGTAATTCAACTTAAAGTAACATCAGTGTGACTTCTGTTGTTGCAGATTAGATGACAAATAACTTATATTAGGTTGTAAGATGTTAGTTTAAGCAGGACTTTTTATTTTTTTTATTAGTTATTTATTGTTAGCTTGTTTTTTATGGTTATTAATTGCTTTTTTAGCATTAATTAATTTTTTTCATTAATAATTGTTTATTATTTTGCGTGTTTTTTGTGAATTTTAATTTAATTGTTGCATATGCTTCTTAGTGTAATAGCATTTGAGTAATAACAATTCATAGTGTAAATAACAAATGTGATCGGTGGCGGGCCCAAAATATTGTCTCGGGAGTCATAAATGGCACGCGTGCCATTGGTTCGCCATCCCTGTCCTATAACAAGAGCCACTCCATGTTGAAGAACATATTGCAAAAATCAATGAATTAGCTACCTGTTTATTCCTGGAAAACTAAATAATAACTTCAATTGGAATACCATTGTGCCATATATTAAATTGTGTAATTTAAACAAATTTTATCATGTAATTTAAACAAAAAATTACCCTTTGATTAATTTTTAGTACAATTTGAAATTTATTTCAGGCCATGGAGCTGGTTAAATACATTAGCAAAGAATTTTTAATTATATTAGAACAAATCGATTGGATGGATGACGAAACAAAAAAACAAGCTAAAGAGAAGGTACGTATTTTTTTAAATTTTATGAACTCAGTTTTCGTTAATTTCACTGTTTTGAAAACTAAGCCCAATATGTGCCTATTGTGATGAAAAATAATATTCTTAAATGCTACATTCTGACGTATTTTCATTATAACTTACTTTTTTTGCATATTGTTACAGGCGAAAGCTATTACTCCTTATATTGGGTACCCACAAGAATTATTAAATGAGTCACTCGTTATGGAGCTTTATGAAAATGTAAGTAAAAATCGATACAATGCTATTTATCTGTTTGAAAAATATATATCTAGAACTGTTGCTTGGTCTTTTTTAGTTAACTATTACGAACGGAAGTTATTTTGAAAATATCATGAGTCTTAGAAGGTGGTCCACAGATTATGCTTTTTCTCAATTAAGGAAACCAAATATTAAAGGAGAGTAAGTATGGAATTTTCAGTTATTAATTAATCCTAGATAACTTAACTTCCGTCTAATAGGTTGCCAACTTTTGCCCGTCAAGGTAACTTACATTTTCAAATATTTTTTTTCCCCCAATGCCCACCTGTGTTAACATCCGTCAATTCAGGCATTTACAGGGCGATTTTGTTGGCCTCTCTTTCAGGGGCACCATATTAGGTGGGCCAAACGTCGCTCCCGCAGTGAGGACAGATAGTACAGCGAAGGAAAGAACCATGCCTTGCCCGGGATTCGAACCCAAAACCTTTCTGTTGCAAAGACAGTTCCCTGCCCCCTACACAGGCCGGTCGCGCATCACATCTTCAAATATTGCGAACGTCAAATTTTATCGCAAATCTATACTTTATTAAAAATTTAAGAGTTTCTGCTTACAGTGACGCTAATTCATTTAACTTAAATAAAAGAAATAATTCGTTTTTATTTCGTAGTCTATAAGTCGAATGATTAGGTACAGAACAAACTTAAGTTTAGTTAATGATCTAGGGTTAAAATATGACAAAAGTGCAACCTATTTAAAAATAATACTGTTATAATACTGGCTTTTTAGCTAATTCTGTTCAGAGTGAGTAAATGGTTACCAAAACACGATAAACTTGTACCAAAATATATTCCTTAAAAAAAATATATATATATATATATTTTAAAGAATTATTTCACAAAAAATCATCTGAATTTATTCATACAACTGTTACTATGTAAAAAAATGTCTAATTGCTCTTATTTGAAAAGTTATGTAAGTATTTATATACATATCAATTATTAGAAAATTTTATACACTCTAAATATGCAAAATTGAATTGTTCTGAGATTTTTTTTTTAAATCGATACTTAATATATAAAAACACTAATGTGTACACATACGAATTTTTCCTTAGTTTTTATTTTATTTAAGAGAAATAATATTTGCGGATAATTTAAGCGAACATTAATTTGAGTTTAAAAAAAAATATTTATAATAATAAATTCTAAATTGAGCGGGAATGGAAAACTTTTATCAGTATGATTTAATTCTGAATAAAAAAAATAATAAAAATTTAAAAAAATACGAAAATTTTTCTATCGTCAACTCAATATTTGCCATACAATTTATAAATTTCAGAAAACAGTTCAACTTAATCAGCAAATGTTGGTAATAAGGAAAGCAAATAATAAAAGGCAAACAAAAACATTCTTATCAAATAAATAGTTGAAACTTCCTTTTCCTCCAAGTTAGAAACTGAAACTTTTTTTTTTTCTTTTTACTGAAATACAGGTTTAGCATTTAAATGTTGTATTGATAGAGTGGACAACTTATGGGAAGAGCAACATTTTTGATCAGCTCATAAGAGACTTTTTTTTTTAAAAGTACATTTATTAATTGCATGTTAAAAAAACGACTATAGATTGTTAAGTGTGTTTTCTGTTTAAAATAATAAAGATAGCATGTTTGTGTTTGATAATGGGACTACTGAGACTTTTCTTCACTTTTCATCCTATTTTAAAGAAATTGAATAACTTGAACATTTCCTATGTAGTTTCCCTTACAACTTTGTTTAGACATATCTTTAAGTGAGGATTTACCGTTTAGTTAATCAAAATCTTAAATAAAAAACAACAATAAAAAAATCATTTAAAAATTTTAGTGGAGATTTTTATTTTCATTATTATTTCAAAGTAGTGTTATTGCTAAAAACATAAATGTAGATAAAGTTAACGTTTCTCTGATGCAATTCATATATTGCAATGCGATGTATGCAAATCAAATTAAATTCAAACTCTGTAAGAACATGTGCCCAAATCCCAATTTTGTAAAATTTCTGGTATTTAAAACTTCAGAAATTTTTAAATTCCAATAAAATTTAGAAGATAAACAGAAGTGGCCAAAATTTTAATAAACTAAAGTTTACTTAATGTGACTATATGTGTGTTCATACAGCTTTAGGAATAAACAGAATTTATACAAAGCGAAAGTTGCTTACTACGCTATAAACTAATTTAGACATACTTGGGGAAAATGGAGATTGCTTGATGATGGTTTTGGCATCAAAATGTAACTTATATGTTTATTTGCGATATGGAATTGAAATATTGTTTGCTGTATGAGTAAGTTGCACATTATGTAACAAAAAATCCCAAACATATTTTGAAAAATGGGTAAATGATGGATTGGAGTTTTGGCATTAAGATGTAATTTCTATGCAATATATGGTGACATGAATTTGAAATATTGTTTGCTGTATGATTAAGTAGCGTATCATGCAACAAACTAACTTACTTGGAAAATGGGAAATGATGGATTGAACTTTTAGCATTAAGATGTAACTTATGTGTGACTGTATGTAACTTATATATATTATTGTGATCTGATATTTAAATTTTGTTTGCTGTATGATTAAGTTGCGTATTACGCATAAAACTAACTTAAACATACTTTGAAACATGGGAAAAGAATGAATTAGAATTTTGGCATTAAAGTGTAACTTTAAATTTGATGTTGGTATGTAACTGAAATATTGTCTGTTTTGACAGGTGGAAAAAGCATGCAAGGGCAGCAGTTGTCAACGCATTTTATAATGCCTTGGAAAACAGCATAGGTATTTAATTATTTTTCACTTCTATTATTAAAAAGCTGATCTTTCTACATTAAGTTTTTGAATATAATGAAACATAACAGGCGATTTTAAAAAATCAATTGGGTACTTACAACTCGAAAAGTGATTACTCCTAACCATGGATTTAATTGGATACCTGTAAGCGACGTTACGCGTGTATCGCACCTTATTGACTTCTAAATCGAAAAATTTATGATGCGATTTACGTACGACACGTATTTCTACGTAAATTTTTTCAAATAAAAGCTTACTTATGATATAATTATTTAAAGACTTATTTTTGATCCTTTCTAAAATGGCTGTAGACATTTTTACATAAACGTTGCTGTGGTGCCGCATACTCTCATACCAATTATTGGGGACAGAAGCCATTTTCGAGCAATAGCATTTACATATAATATACCATAAAGTTATGGATCGGTAGAAGCGTGAGGAAGAACTACAGTACAAAATGGAGCATTGGGACAACTTCGACTTCATCTAACGACAGAGATGGAAATATTTTTAATACTTCTGCTACCTCTACTACGCTGAAATGACCCAAACTCTTATTTATCGTGGTTTGTGTAGCTGCCGAACAGATTTTAAAATACTATTAAAATTAAATACATAAAGAACTTCGACAATATCGTGGACATATCTTATACATAGTTCAAATTGATATAAATGCACTTCAATAATGTTAATTCAGACAAATAGAAGGTGAATAAATTCGGTTAATATAATGTTTAAAATTAATTAGGGCGTTATTATTGGAGGAGGGGTTGAAGAATTAGAATATTCAAGAGAGAATTAAAATGTCCTGTTTATTCGGTCTGGTTGCCATTAAAATTTATATGTTGTACAAGATAATTTTGAAAGGTGACTAAGCTGGTCGCCGAAGGCGGCTAGTATACAGTAAATATGAAATAAGAAAAAGTGCATTTTTTAAAACAAATAAAAGTACAATAGAAAATTTATTAGTATTTTTGAAAGTTTAAATCCATAATCGTTATACATTTTAATTCTTTTTTATAACTTTAATAACTGATACTTTTTATAAAAGTAAAAAATCTTCTGTAATAGCATAAGTTTTGTAATAGCACAAATATAAAGTCTTTTGTAAATAGCATTAAAAAAAAGCAAATTTTTGTTATTCTGAGAAAAATCTAGACAAAAACAAAACTAGACTTTTTTTATGGTAAATACAATTATTTTCTTCTTAAATCTTCTGATGTTTAAAAGAAACTACACAAAAACACTTAATTCAAAATTTACTTTCATTAATGATTTTTTTCTTTCTAATTTATAGAAAGCCATTGTTACATCCAAAAACAAAATTCCGTAATGCATTTTATCTTGTCACAGTCATAATACATTCCATAGAAATTTCAACTTAATTATGAACCATTAGTTATGAAATAGTAAGAGACAATGAAATAAGAGAAAACAAGAATCTCTCTGTTCTTTGTGTTCTTGACAAAAAGTCTTTTAGGTGTATTTGTATAATTTAATTAATAGCAGCATTAATGAGCATATTTTATATCAGTATAGCCAGACTAAATGAATAGAAATTCTAGAATAATTTTTTCGATTGTCTCTATCTTATATTTTATGTGGTTCCTAAATACTGCCGAGAACAATAAATACTCATTACTAGTTTCTCCGCAAAAGTTAAATAAATGCGATCAGGATTATAAGAAACATTTCCCCCTTCCTATACGCATCTTAAATCTCACTGGCGAGAACAGAAATTTTAAGAATTTAATTTGACAAATTTCCATGTACCTTTTAAATTTGTATAATCTACGATATAAAGAATAATCAATAAATAACGTACAATTTTTCTTTCAGAATTTCCAGCTGGAATTTTACAAAATGCTTTTTTCAATAAAGATAGACCACAGTAAGTAAGACAGAATTAGCATTAATTCATCAATTGTTAGTTTTTTTTTAATATTTCTGTGTCAATTGCTGTGTTTTAAGTGCATATTATTTAAAAAAGTCCCTCATAGAAAAATTTATAAGGAAAGATGGGGTAAGATCGAACAGCTTAAATTCGAAGGCCCACTGGAGCTAAAATTTTCGATCCAGAAAGTGCCAAATTTAATAAAGATATTCATTGTTTAGTTATGTATAATATATCATTTTTGGAAAAGTACCAGATGCACTATTTTAGTTATCGATGATTTTTCATTTTCCAGAAAAAGTTAAATCACCTAATTTCACCCCATTAGACTATGTATAAACCCAATGTGAAATTTAGAGACACTAGAATTTCAGTGAAAAAGTAACAGGCATTTTTATTTTCTAAGACAATTTACAGATGTTATTGTTTGTGACAAACCCTGGAAATTTTATGTGCAAGATATCACTTTCTATACCATACATGTTTCGTATTTAACGTAATTTTAAGATTTATAATTAAATTACCTACCAACTAAAAATATTACACTTTTATAGTAACAAATTTAAGAAAAATCTTAGTTCCTACAAGAATAGCGATATTAGATTTTTAAATAGCGTGAATTTGAATCGCGATATTGGTTTTTAAAAGCACATGAATACGAATCGTGTTATTGGATTTTAAAAACTCGTAAATACGAATCACGATATTGAACAATTAAATCGCGTGAATACGAATAGTAATGTATGATTTTTAAATCACGTAAACACGAATCGCAATGTGTAACCTTCAAATTAGGTAAATATAGAAATCAATGTTTGATATTTATAATCATGTGAATAAGAATCGCGATATAATAGCTAATTCCTGTGTAGTTCCAAATATTCAAAATGGCGAAAATCCATGAAACTGCCAAAATCACATGTATGTACACGTCTCGTTAACAAGATTCAGCGAAAGTTTCAAAATTTTAATTTTAGATTACGGAATTCCGTGAAAATTTTGTCAGATTATGTTTTTGATTAGCTAAAGACCGAGAACTAATGGTCTCTCTAGAGAAACTTGAATTCCGCGACATTCCCAGAAAAACCAATTGCCCGGCTCCAATTTTTTGCCCCGGAAGGATGATACGAAAACCTCGGAATTCCAGGGTTCACCCGGAATACAAAATCACCTCTGAATTTAAGAATGTTATGGACAGAATTTCCATGTGAAGCAAATACTTTACTTCAGCTATCGTGGGTCCATCAAAACCCCTTACCACAATGGATCTACCTTCCTTTCATTCATTTATTTATTTTAGTTAGAAAATACTTCATTACAATATAAACAATCAATATCACATGCGTTTTTATCATCTTCTTCTGAAGAAGCATCAAGTATTTAGGTTTCGATAATAAAACTGTTTTCTTGTATTAATTCTTCATTCACATGTCTTTTTTCTGATTTTTTTTTCACGTTTAACAACTTACTCTCAATTAATAGAAAAAAATTTTAATGTTCTTTTTTTCCTTCATCCAGATATTCCAAGCTGGTTTTAAAAACAGTTGTTATCGAAATGAAACAAAATCATATTACTACTGGACTAAACCCTTAATGTTTGTTAAGAGTAGTAAACGTATGTTTAACTGGGTTAAAAAATTCTTTATAACTGTAATGACCAATAAATAAGGATAATTTAGAAACAAAAAGAACATTAGAGAGTTGGCACTGTAAAACATACTTATTTACACAAACGACATGACTTCAACTACAACAATACGCCAATATGTCAGCTTCTTCTTAAACAGTAAAATGTTATCCAGTACGCTAGGAACATTCAGTTTCACCCCATTACCCAGTCTTATACCACAACAGACTGTATACAGCATGCATAATAATATACTAGAAACTGTATTGTGTATGATAAAATGTGATATAATACCTCCCAGTTTAAAGAACTAAATGAAATTTTGGAAAACTAATCTCTTTCAGCAGCTGCTTAAGTCCACTTTTCAATGACTGTGCAGTGATGATGCATTCATCAGTATTGCTCTACGTGCTTCATTAAAATGTACACAGCTATTTATAACATAAGGAGATAATTTCATAATTCATCATTATTATATGCAAAAATAACACATTCCATTTGAGCAAGAAAATTGTTTTTAATAATTGTTCATTTTATTTTTTCAGTTATATGAATTTTGGCGGCATTGGTTATGTTATTGGACATGAAATTACACATGGATTTGATGATAGAGGTAAATGAATATGAAATTCAGTATTTCACGTTAATACAAATATTTTTAAAACAACATTGCAATTATTATTTTTTATTTTATTTAGGTAGACAATTTGATAAGGATGGCAACAACAAAAATTGGTGGGATCATACTACAGATGAGCGCTTTAAGGAAAAAGCAAAATGTATTATTCACCAATATGGAAATTATACTGCTGACAATGGACAAAACGTAAAATACCGTTCTTTTTTAAGTGTAAAAATTATCAGATGCAACACAAGTTAATCATAAACTGCTTAAAGAAGAAAGTTTAACAGTTTTAAAATTTCATCAAAGTATTAAAGTATCTTTTGCCATAGATGCACATCACAACCAACCAAAGTTCCTGCTAAGTTGCCCTTATGTCCGGTTTCTCTAAAGATTTGGAAATTTTGCATCACATTTTTTAATATTTTTTCCCGCTGTTTTTCAACTTGATCTTTTGCAAAATTACTGTCCATTGGCGAGTTTGTTAAAACTAAATATTATATTTTGTTTTAAAAACAGGCAAATAAAGTAAACATTTGCAATAAACGTCTAAACTTAATTATTTGAAAGAAAACAATATAAAGGGTGAATTTTAATATCTAACAATATCTAACTCAAATAATAAAATCAGTCACTCAAAGGAGTTTTAATGGTTTTTTTTTTTTTGTTTGTTTTTTATAAGCTAATTTTTTCCTTTTTTTACTATAAAATAAGTTTTAATAAAATATGAAATTTATTAACTTATTTTGGTCTAGAAGTTTTGTGTATAACCATTATCAAAAGAGCTAACAAAAAAAAAATCTTTTGTCAAAAGTGATTAATCATATTTTCCTAATGTTTCTTTTTCTGGCTTATTAATTTATGACCTCTAATGTGCATTTTTTTTCTTCTTTTTTTTACTTCCTTTTTGACAAGAATTCTAAAATAATGTATTTAAAATATTAATTACCAAACACCCTGTGTAGATGTCTCAGTTTTAATTTTTTTAAATTAAGTTTCCAAGCAAATGAAAAATATTGAAAAAGTTGTATTATGTACCAAAAAATTATACTATAAATGCCAAATAGTATAATACCAGATAGAATCATTTTATATACTATNTTAAAAACAGGCAAATAAAGTAAACATTTGCAATGAACGTCTAAACTTAATTATTTGAAAGAAAACAGATATAAAGGGTGAATTTTAATATCTAACTCAAATTAAATAATAAAATCAGTCACTCAAAGGAGTTTTAATGGTGTTTTTGTTTTTGTTTGTTTTTTATAAGCTAATTTTTTCTTTTTTTTACTATAAAATAAGTTTTAATAAAATATGAAATTTATTAACTTATTTCGGTCTAGAAGTTTTGTGTATAACCATTATCAAAAGAGCTAAAAAAAAAAAATCTTTTGTCAAAAGTGATTAATCATATTTTCCTGTTTCTTTTTCTGGCTTATTAATTTATGACCTCTAATGTGCATTTTTTTTCTTTTTTTACTTCCTTTTCGACAAGAATTCTAAAATAATGTATTTAAAATATTAATTACCAAACACCCTGTGTCTTAGTTTTAATTTTTTTAAATTAAGTTTCCAAGCAAATGAAAAATATTGAAAAAGTTGTATTATGTACCAAAAAATTATACTATAAATGCCAAATAGTATAATACCAGATAGAATCATTTTATATACTATTATAAATATGTATACTATAAAATTAAATTAGAAGAAGCAAGACAAAGTTTTAAAATCAATGATAAGATATGGGTAATATTTATAAAATTTATTACTTGATACAACACAACTTTCCAGTACAGCAATTATGTACAGTTCATTCTTTTTTATCCCTTCCTACCGTATATTGCTTGAGAAATAGTTAGTTGTGTATTAATATTTTTTAACATTGAAAATTTTTCACTCCAGCTAAATGGAATCAATACTCAAGGAGAGAATATTGCAGATAATGGAGGACTGAAAGAAGCATATTTGGTGAGAAAACATTTTATAAGCATAATCTCTTGGCCATTTATAGATAATATACCTTTGAATTGAGGAATAAATAGAATCAAATGGAGCAAAATTCCGTACTTTAAACGAAAACCTTTTTTTTGTTGAAAATATTAAAAAACACTATCATTAGCCTTCAAATTTTATACATCTTCTAAAATTATTGAAACTAATTCATTTTCACAAAAAAGTGCCTTATTAGGTCAATGTGTTCAGATAATGTTTACAGAAGTTATTTAGATAATTGTTTGCTTAAATTATAGCATTACTCTTCTATTTCCAGCTTTACAAAAAAGATTTAAAAGAAGATAAACCAAGGAACATTTTTAGGTTAAAAATTAATTTTAGTGGCGATTTGTATTTTGTGTGAAAATAAGAAAGTAAATTATACATCTTGTTAAGATAGCATGATTTTTTTAAAATTAAAATCCCATACAGTCTTTAGAATTTTTAAATACAATAAAAACAGAGTATATTCCCTCACATATTATAGAGTAAATTCGCCATGATCAAAGATTTGTCTGTTAACTTGATAAAAAAAAACTTCTTTGAAAGTGGAAACACTTTTAGCTCATCGCTAAATATTTTACAAAGGCAAATTATAATTATTATTCAATATTAAAGATTTAAAATGTATAAGATCATTTTATTTTCAGGCATATAATTCTTGGGTAAGAGATAATGGTGCAGAAAAAAAATTACCTGGATTAAAATATACACCTAGTCAACTTTTTTGGATTAGTGCAGCTAATGTGAGTATAAATAGTTTCCTTCAGTATCTATTAAAAATAATTTCACAGATATAAAGGAATATTTATTGGAATATTATACTTCCTACGATAATAATAATCTATATACCGCTTATTCCAGTGCAAAAGTCGATCCCCTATTTTGATTATTTATCCGGTATGATATGAATGTATAAGTGACTGCTGAAAAAAAACCAAATATGGAAATTTATATATTTAAAAAAATATAAAAACTATACAAAATCTTCTCAAGCTAAATATATTTTGAGTTATTCTCTCTGGATCTGATGCATTTGTCCTCAAAAAATGATATTCTAAAAACTTTTAAAAAGTGTGGAATTTCAATTCTTTGGATGAAGGTAAAAAATGATTTTTGTGAGATTCAGCAATTTAAGTTTGTAGCTGAATGTATGTTTTAAGAGATTTCATTGTGTTATATTTTTTTTTAAAAATATTCTTGAGCAAATTATCTCAACCTTTCTCTTTTTTAAACATAATTTAAAATGTTCTTTCTAATTAACGTTTATATGTAAAGAAATGCAAAATTAATTGTAAATAATAAAGTTTTTGAAAAGAGTAAATTGATTCAGAGCTATTCATATCTATCTCATTGTTTATAATGCATTGATATTTCAAAATCAATGTCTGACTTTATTATCATTGTATAAGTCAACTTCATTTTCATCAAATTTTAGGAGTTTGAAAAGTTGATTTATATATTGAGATGTACGGTAATTTCAGAATTTTAGCATGTTAAACTTGTCATGAAACTAATTTAGAAAGCTCCTGATTATCTGCAATACTAAGCCATGTGACACATGACGAAGAAATTCAAAACAGTTAAAAATGAAGTAAATCAAAATTTTTTCAGAGATTTTATTTAGAATGAGAGCCAATTTTTCACACTTGCAATTGAATAATTAAATTGTACCCGGTGTGAAATTTTAATTGTAAAAAAGCAAACCAGACTTCAGAAATCAACCAAAAAGACCATATAATTGATTTCTATATGATTGATCTATGCATTCTAAAGTCACAAGCTTAAAAAATTTGTCATTTTAGGTCACACTCCATTTTTATGGCATTATTTAGAATGATTTAAGATGAAGCAGTGCGACTCCACTGTATTATTTTGCTATCGATCTGATATCATTTAACAACAACACTGAAAGTAACTTTAATAGAAGAATCTATTTCATTGTGTAGATTTTTTTATAGTTATAAAAAAACAAATTACCAGATAATCAAGAGTTAACTGTAAAAAGAAATATCTGTTCTATCTTTAATATTTTTTTAATAAAATTAGGTTTGGTGTGGAAAATATAGACCAGAAGTTTTGAAGTTAAGGATAATATCTGGATCTCATAGTCCACCTGAATTCAGGTAAAATATTTTCTAGCAATATTTCTTATAAAATTACACATAATCAACTCATTGTCGTTATTAAAAATGATTTAAAATAGTATTTATATAAAATTGTAAGATAGTTATAGTTAAAATAATTTTTAAGTGTTTTATTTTATATATTTATTGGCTCAGTGGTTAAAGATCTAAGCTACGACAGCTTGGAACAAACCCAGTTTCAGATTGATGATTACCAGGAAGTAAAAACAACAGGTGTGCAATGCTGACTATATTACTACCATCATGTTATTGGTTTCTAAATTGTAAATGCTAAACTTTATGACCTTCCTATCCAACAAACTGGCAGTTTGCAGAAATGCTCAAGTTTAGTATAATAGTAGAAATTAAATTGCAAATATTTAAGCAAGCTCATTTATAGAATTTGATTTTTAATTATTTTGAAAACTATTATGTCATAAATGTGAACAAAAAATTTTACTTGCGGGGGAAAAAAAGATCTTGATGCCAAAAAGAATTGAGTGCATTCCACAAGAATTCCTGCCTGCAGCAAAAACTATCTTACCGCGAAAACAATAGGAGTTTTTTATTTCCATAGTTGGGCACTGCTTATGGATGCCTTCAATTAACTCATTGCTTTTCCAAGAAAAATTTCTAATTTTATTACTCACATTTATAATATAAACTTCTCTCGTAAAGTATGTGATAAAAATACAGTTTTAATAGTTTTCAGAATAATTAGATACCTAAATTTATTAATGAACTAGTATAAATTTCTGTAATTACATTAAAAGTAGAATTTTTATTTCCAGAATGCTTAGCTATAAAAATTTTAACTTATTTTAAAAACTCTTTAAAAAAGTAAGTTTTTATGTCTTATTTCGTAACTGTGGTAAACAAAGAATGCTGCAAAAATGTCTTTATTAAAAAAACTATTACAGTGGGCAATAAAATAAACGGAAAACGACAAACAACTTTTGATCTAATAATAGGATCTTCACATTTTAGGACTCAATCTTAATGGTTTGAGGGGTTATTCTCAAATAGTGCAGATGATATTTTAAGTTACAAAATCAAAAGCATAGTTTCTCTAAGTTATCTTTTATTTTGGGGGATTGACATTTCTGGCTCCAAAATGTAGGGGAGAGTCGCAATATGGGTAACATGGTCCCAATAGTTTAGTCAGGTGAGTGGTGTAAAGTTTGGACCCCTTAATGTCAATGTTACTTCTTGCAAATTTTGCTGTAGCTCGAGAATTTTTTAAGACAATTGAAAAAATTTTTGCATATAATTGTAAAATTTCCTGATCCAAATATAATTCCATACAAAAAATAATATTTTATTTAATAATAAGTAAGAAAAATTCGACATCAATTTAAAGAATGTAATTTTACATTACAAAATTTGAGCAAAATTCTTTGAATAGCTCCTGAGAAATTAGATTTCTTAGGAACTATTCTACTGATTTTGCTCAAATTTTTTACTTTAACATCATTTTAAAGTAAGTAATTTTACCTTACATCTAACAATTACACATTTTTTTGACTATCATTAAATAAAAAACAATAAGCTAAAAGTTACTTTTTGCACGGAATTATCTTTGGCTAAACAAATTTTATAATTGTGTGCAAAAATTTCTAGAGATGCATTCAAAAAACAAAATTAACATTAAGCAGCTCAAACTAAGGACAGCTCTCGATTAAACTATTGAGACCTATTTCCCAGGTAGCAGCTTATGAGGTCAGAAAACCAAAAAAAAAAGGTACATTTCTATGTCTTATTTCATAACTGAAAACATAATTTGCACTATTTGAGGTGTCCATCTCAAACCATTGAGACTGAGTCCTAGAACGTGAAGATTTGATTATTTAAGCAAAATTTATTCAGGTCAGTCCTTTATCTTTTGTGCACTCTACAAGAACAGCTTCTATTATGCACATTGTTATCATAAAAAGTAAAGCTAAACTTATTAAGTCATCTGATTACTAGTTTTTACTTTTATCTGGACTATTTTTCATAAAAAGTGATATTAAAAAGCAACCCTGACATATTTCAACTAATTTGTTCTTAAAAATCAATTTTATATTTCAGAGTAATAGGCCCGATGTCCAACTTAAAAGAATTTTCCAAAGAATTCGACTGCCCTGCCGGATCTAATATGAATCCTCATAAGAAGTGCCAAGTTTGGTAAAATGTTCCAGTGAGATTGAAAATTTAAGAATTATTTATTTGAGGTGCGAGTTTTAGGGTGGTAAAAGAGTGAGCAAAGACTAAAATTGTTTTTACATTTGTACAGTTACTTGTTTGTCTTTTTGTAATAAAATTAAAAAATACCAGTTCATATTCATTTTTTAATTTAGATGAAAGCATAAAACAATAGGAACATTTCATAAAAATACAATTTTTGGTTTTGCCAACAAAAAATTTTCAATACAGTAACTATTGCACTAGATTTGGAATGAATTGTCAGATTTTAAAAACTTTCCACTGGTATGTATATAGTTCAAGTCATTCTTTTAACATTAATACTCGAATAGATGGCACACATATTTGTAAAAAAAATTACTTCCTAGCATTTATAATTTCAACAAAGTCTGGTTTTAGTGATGCTCCACCAACTAAAAATCCATCAAGGTCTGGTTTCTTAGCTAATTCTTTACAATTTGCAGGTGTGACAGATCCTGTAAACCAAAAATTCAATACAGAAAAATATAACATAATCAAAACGATTTATAGGGGTGGACAAAATAATGGAAACATTTCTATGCTTATACATTTTCTACATTTCTCAAGAAATACTCAAAGAATAATTTTATAACTTCAAAAGTATTTAGATCATGAGATTGTTCATACATATCAGATGAAGTTTAGAGGTTTGAGGGATTGACAATAAATTACAAACACTTTGAACAACCTATGCTAAAAATTGAGCAATAAGTTTGTAACTTGTAGAAATTATTTTGGTTATTGTATGCAATAATTGCATAAAATTTTGTAAGCTTAGCTTAAATAATGGAGATTTTTAAAAATAACTTTTTTGTCATACATTTATTTGCTATAACTTTAAAAATATTCAATAGTTGAACAAAATTGTGCAAGATATGAGTAATTAAAGTTGTTCTTTTATACTGTGCATACACGGGAAAAATTTTAAAAAATTTCTTCACTTCGTAGAGGCAAAGAGGCATTTGGCAACTAATAAAAAAATTCAATTTGAATATCTTAAACATTTTAAAAGTTCAAAGCAATTTTCTACGTAGTTTTTGTAAATTTTAAAAGAAACTCAAAATGATAAGGGAGTTCTCTACAAATATTTTCTTACATAAGACAAATTAAATAACCAATGATAATACCTTACAATAAAGGTTCATACACCGAAATATGATTGTATAAGGAAAGAAAATACAAAAAAAAATTTTTACAGGGATTATCCCCAACAATGTCAGTGTCATTTTTTATAAATCTTATTTAATAGTACAAAATAAAATTTGTGGAAAACCCCTTATCATTATGAGTTACTTTTAAAAAGAACAAAAACTACTCAGAAAATTGCTTGAAACTTTTTAATGTTTTAAGATATTGAAATCGGACTTTTTATTAGCTGGCAAATATGATTTTCTAAAGAATTGCGAGAAAAAAAATTCTAAATTTTCCCAAGCATGCACAATATAAAAGAACTATTTTAATTACTCATATCTTGTGCAATTTTAAAATAATTCTTCACAAATTTTATAGCAATAATTGTGTAATTACTTTTAAATTGCTCTAAAAATTTTGTTAATTTTTATTGAATATTTTCATAGTTATAAGAACAACAAAAAAAAAACTTAAGACAAAATGTTTTATTAAAAATTTCCATACATCCATAAATACTTAAGCAAGGCGTACGAAAGTTCGTGCAAGTATTGCATATAATAGCCAAAATAAGTGTTACAAATTTATTGCTACATTTTTTTGCCATAGGGTGTTTAAACACACTAATTTCCTTTGTAATTTATTGTCGGTACCTCAAACCTCTAAAAACTTTAAACTTCATTGAATAAATAGTATAAGAAATCTCATAATCTTGACACTTAAGTTATAAAAAGATTCTTTAAGTATTTCTTTAGAAATACAAAAATTTTTTATCAGTTTCTATTATTTTGTCTATTTATAAATTCATTTTAAATAAAGAAATAAAATATTAACTATATTTTTGCCCTTATTAATCAGTGCTTTTCTATTTTATAGCGTGGGAGGCAAAGTTGTCAGGCGCAGGCAAATCAAACTTTTTTTGAAGTCAAGACTTTTTTTTGTTTAAAATAAATAATAAAACTGCCAAAGTTACCTATGCCAGCAAAATGGAAAAGTATTAATTAATCTTTTAATAGCTATTCATGGAACACTGTAATTTAAAATGCTAGCATAAATCATTTTTCAAGAGTATCGAGTTTAGTGAAAATTTTTAGCAAAGCATACACTGGAACAGCCAGAAGGCAAAAGTCACAACTAAAGTGAAATTTCATTAAGAGGCTGCAGTACAATTCAAGATTCGTAAATTTGAAAAGCTAAGTTAACAAGTCTAAAACTGGAAACCAGTACACTTAATAATGAAATGCCTGATGAGTTTACTTAAAATATAGTCATAAGAGTATCAATTAAAAATATATTTATAAGAAATAATATGCAGCAGATTATTCTACTCTAACTTGTTCAATTATCTATGAAAAAAAATATTAAAGAAGAGAAACAGGAACATTATTTAACAGTAAATAAATCTTCGGGGAAAAAAAGAAAGGTACATACCACCATAAATAATTCTTGTGCTATTTGCTACATCAGCAGATACATTTTGTTTTAGCCACTGCCTTAACTGCTCATGAACTTCTTGAGCCTGTGGAAAGAAAAAATATTTATCTTTATTGTTTCTAAAAATAAATATATGCATCTTATATTGCTATTTTAACCTTTTCTTATCCGAAAACTTTAATCAAGCTTATTATCATCTATTTTTTAAATATATGAGATCAATAAGAAACAAAATAGATAGAAATGTAGAATAGAAGAAAGCAACAGGTAAAAATATATGCAACAATCAAGATGCATGCCAATGAAAAGTAAAGCATAAAACAGTCTAATTCAAACAGCATTTAACCCTATGAGCATTAGCTCTTGCTTTTTCTAAACTTTTAACTGCAGGCTTTCCAGCAAAAAGAGAAGGGAAAAAAACATTTTTTTTCCATGCTATTTAATAGGACTAATGCATAACAAGAAATTTCTGCACAATTTTACTCAGGGACTTAACACTTGGATGGTTGAATAAACATAATTTAGCTCTGTTTGAACAAGAATCAACTGAGGATTCATTCTGCATAAGTCAAAATAATTTTTCAATCAATTTTTTGACTTATCTTTTCAATTATTTAAAGTCTACCGTTTTTTAGTTTGAAACCTGACCAGAGGCCTTTGCAAAGAAGCTTAGGGAGAAAAAAAATTTGAAATTATTTTATCACTACAATTCAAATTTCAATAAAGAGTATACAGGGTGCATAGCCAAATCTTTGAATCAAAAATAAGCACTTTTAAAAAACTTTTCAAGCACTTTACAAAAATTTTCAAGCACTCATATTGAATCAATGATATTATTGAAAAACAAAAACTTTTTATGAACAGCTTTAGCATTAAAAAAAAACTCAAAAAGAAACGGACGCAAATCGAAACAATCAGTACTTTCCCACTTCACCGAGTAAATTCAACTTGACTCTGAACAAAAGTACCCTTACCCCATACATCAAAAAAGTGCTAGAAGTAAAATAAAATAAACAAGAATAAAATTATAAATTAAAAAGAAGAACATTTAATAAGGATCTGACTATATCCAAATTGGAGCACTCGGGTTTCAGTTTCGAGTGTGCGCGCATGCGCAAGTCATAATGTGGGTACGACATGCAGTCCGTGTGAATGATTACGTAGCAAACACCCCATTTTTCGTGAAATGCAGGGGATCCGCCAGATCTCACTGAAGGAAGAAAAAAATTATTCATGACAAAAAAGCACTTTTTAAAAACGGCAGCTGAAAAAAGCACCTTTAAGTACTTTTTACAAACGCTACGCACCCTGGTATAATTTATTAAAAGCAACATACAAGAAAGGTTTTAAAAAACTAAGAGTTGTCAAAATATTTTTATATTTGGGTTAGTTAGTTTCAACTGCTATTCAAACTTATTGAATAATAGGTGGTATTTACAATATCTATGAATACGTGAAAACAGTGTACTTCCCTAAGCGTTTTTGATGGGAAACCTGCCCTGTCTGACCTTTGATATGCCCTTTTTGTAAAAATAAGTCACCATCCCTTAAAAACACTGTAAGCTTTTTATTCATATTGTATTTCCTTAAAAAAAATTTATTCATTGTTTCAAAAATAATTACCCACTGGTAAAATTATATGTGTTTATATGTATAATTTTGATTACTATTACAAATGTTTAATTGTATTCTCGTCTTTCTTTATAATGTTATTCTCAACTAGCAAGATTTTTATGAGTTTCTCTTAATCGGGAGGACAAGAAGGTGATTTAAAAATTGTTGAGGAGTAATATCAGTTTTTACATATTACACATTTTAAAAAGCTGGTATATAAACATTAATTCGTTTGAAAACCTTATAATTATAAAATTACTACATTTCATAAATTATAAAATAACTACAGCAAATATAAGACAAGACATAATAAAAATAAACATAGGAAGAACTACCTAATCTACAATTTAAAAAAAGATAATTAAAACCTACTTGTTCTGGGGATGCTGTTTTTCCAGTTCCAATGGCCCAGACTGGCTCATAAGCAATAACTACTTTACTCCAATCACTTACTTTGTCTGAAATATAATAAACAATTAGTGCTCATTTAAAACAAAAGTACTAAATCATATCAGGCAACATAAAAGAATTGTTGAATTCACTAAAAATTAAATTTCAACAGTCTAAACTAGGGGTCTCTAACTTTTTTGTGCCTTAGGAGCAAAGCAATAAATTTGAGAAATTATTGGGGCCACATATGTTCCAATATACAGGGTATCTGCTACATTTTAGATTCCCAAATTCATGACTTTTCATGACTAATTTCTAGAATTTTTCAAGACTTATCGAAGTTACTATTTTTCCAACAAAAACACAACAAGAATTGTTAAAAAGAATAACATAAATTGAAATGAAATGTATAACCAAAACTGTTATACTCTGCATCTTCTTATTTAAAGATTTTAAATTTTTAAAAAAAAACAGAGTAAAAAAAGAGTTAAAGCAATAAAATAGCTAAAAAAAATACAAAAGCAAAAAAATTTTTTCAAAAGAATTATATTCTAAATATACTTTTCTTGTTCATCCCAAAGGAAAGAAATACTCCTGATTTTTCTGTTCTCATTTCGGAATTAAAAAAATTCGCCAATGACTGGCTTGCTTCAGCTAGAATTTTAAATTGATAAAACAAAAAAGTAACAAAAATTCTGAAGCCACAGAAGTTTAAAAGATAATTCGCTCTTGAAATGTTTTTTCTTTCTTTTTTTTTGAAAGAACACCATAACTTATAAATTGTTTTTAGCATGTTCTTTAAATTTTAGTAAAATATGAAAGTGAGTGGGGATTTTATTACAAATTTAAAGATTCGGAATACCACGAAATGGGGAGGGGGGTATTTTTAAATTCCATTTTAAAAATTAGATTTTTTAGACTTCCATGATTTTCTTAAAAAAATAGTTAAAATCATGACATTTCATGACAAATTTTGTTCAATACTGAAATTCATGACTTTCCAGGTGCACGGATATCCTTAATATAAGTAAAGAAATCCAACCGTAGAGAAGGATCACAGTTAATTTCAGTAAAAATTGCTACGTTTTTTTTTTAGTTTTGTTAAAAATTTAAAGTAAATGTCATTTTTGGGCAAGGTGAAGTCAATCACTTTATTACAACTACGTTCATAATCTCTTCAAAGTTTGAAGAAGACTGAAAGAAAATTTCAATGATTGTTAATGCAAAGAAATACTCATGTTATTATTTCCACATGCAGATTTCAATAATGACACTGATATAAGTTCTTGCTTTACTGACATTTTGTTTCAAAACAGGCTGTATAAGCATATCATAGTGACAGCTGCTTAGTCTGAACTTCTGCTCAGAAGCTTTAAAAAAATTATTTATTCTTAAGCAAGACAAAAACTTAAAATGGTTACAATATATAAAAATTAACATATTTTGGCATTACAAGTAAATTTATTTCTCTTTTAGCATTAAGCTAAAGAATGGAAAAATACATAAAAACTTTAAAACATTCCACAAAAATAATAAACAATTTTTAAGTGATACAAGCCTCAACAGCATATAAAGCATTTAATTCAAAATATTGCACTTGTATTCTTCAGAGCTTACAACTTTTAATGAAATTGAGGGAAGCATATTTTTCGTAATAAGCTTAAGACTTTTCTTGCAAATACAATGCATGGTTACAAAAATAAATAAATAATAATTCTACTCATACCTGCAATTGCTTTAGTCTGCTTGAATACAACTTCTTGAGTTTTACCAGATTCTCTTTCTTCTAGAAGTTCACCAACACAAGCAATAACTTTCAATCCTTCAGCTAACGCATGTGCAGTTTTTTCAGCAATTAACTGAAATTATTACGAGAATTTTTAAGTTTTATGCATGATTAAAATTTATTACAGGATGTTAAACAAAGAGCTTAAATAAATGGGGAGTTAATATTATACCAAATCTTGAATTAAAATTTCTAAGCATCAATTACTCTATGTAATTTAGAGAAGCATGTGGACGCAGAAATATACTCTAAATATGCAAGAAAAAAAATAAATTAAAGTTTATGAGTATCTACAATTTCATGTATTTTAAAGAAGTATCACTTATTTTGGATGTAAAAGTAAGGTCTAATCAGGCATATAAAAGACAAAACATTACAACTAATTAATAATTACTAAAATGAAAAGCACAAACTGTGTCTTTTATAATAGAAAATGCNGAATATTTACTTTGTTAGGATTATTCTCAACTAGCTTTTAAAGTGTGTGCATTTTGGATATATCGTAAATTTTTTTTTCACATGTTGAATCGCCTCTTAATAAAATCAGCCGCTTAATAAAATCAAAAGAGCATAAAACGAAAGTGATTTTAATAAACGGCGGGCACTGTATAACTACTCCTCATAACCATTATGATCCATACCAAAATCAAGCACAAGATATTACAAACATTAAACTCCAACTCAAAATTGAAAAACGTTATAAAATCATGTTAGTAATGACTAACTTTTTAAAATACTTGAAAAACTAATAAAATACTAAATAACACAGTTTACTAAATTTTATGTAGAAATATATGTAGAATGTAGAATCATCCAAGTTATCTTTTAACTTTCTACCACTGATTAATATATTTTTAACAAAACTCAAATTTTGAAGGGTCATGTAATTAATACCAAAAATAATAACATAGGAATAAAGTATATTATATTGATAATGCATCAATACTAAGCAATTTTAATACTAATACTGTGGAAATAAGTGTCTTACGGTCCCTTGAATGAAATATGTACCGGAGAAAATTACTTGATAATGATAAATGTTGACAATTATGATTTGTCCTGAGCAATAGCATCATGCTAAGTGATGTTAAATACCGTTAATCTCTTTTCAGTTCGGATAAACTTCAAAAACTTTTTTGCTTAATTTAATTAAGTAATGGCACCAGGAATGGCAACTAATATGAATAAAAAAAGAAATTATTTTACCTTTAATTGAAAAACTTAGTGGAAGAACCAGGAAAGTGATATTTTCACAGTGACTACGAAGAACAGGTATTTAGCTAGTTATCACATAAATACTATGAGAACTTAATAAGACACCTTGTATATTGCTATCATGAAGCCTTTGGTAACTAAATGGTAAAACCCCATATTTATTGTGGACAAAAAAAAAACTGTTGCAGGAGTGCTTTAATAACTAATTAATATTTTTAGTACACTTTGATTTAATTTATTCCTAGAAATGTGTTGTTTTTTTTTAACCTTGCTATCAAATTTAAATTCCAAGTATTTTGAAAGCTATTTTCAAAATCTAAGTTATAAAATTAATTTACCTAAAATTTAAACTTGGTTATATTCTAATAAATAAAATTAAACCAAAATTATTTATTATATTATGTTATATATTATATTTAGTATATTATATCAAGCAAAAAAATAAAGAGCTTGTGTTGAAATGACTTTCTGAAATTAAGTAAAAAACTTGTAGCAGCTAATTAACTATTTACACAATTCCCTTTAGTTTCTAAAAAGTAACTTAAACAATTGATAGAATGCATGTATGTATGTTATTATATATACTATGTTAACACTTATGTCAACCCAGACACCAGCATGACATTAGAATTGTTAAATTATACTAAATGTGTGCCTAAAACAGCTCATTATATTCCTAATTAGCTCATTATACTCCATTTATTCCTAAGCTAAATTGAAAATCAATACTCACAATATATAAATTAAAAAGGTTTCTTAAAAACAAAGATTTGTGTTACTGTATGCTTTTACTAGGTAAAAGCATAAAAAGAAAATATAATTATTCTTTAGTTCAGGAAGTTCGAGATCAGTATGTATCAGCTTTAAAATTATGGAAAAAAAGTTAAAGGAAAAAAAGTTAGGTTTATAATAAGAAATTTTTATTACTTAAAAAATAGATATTAAATACATAATAGATACAAATTTTAAAAATAGTTTTAAAACTAACACAATGTGCTTTATGATTTTTACTTTATTTAGTTAAAATATAATAAAAGTTAAATTTATATGCATATTTTGCATTAATACTGTTAGTAATGTAATAAAAAGAATAGTTGCAAGATAATAAACTAAACAGTTTACCGCATCAGTTTCTCCAAATACATTCCTTCTCTCTGAGTGGCCTAATATAACCCATTCAGATCCAATATCTTTAATCATGGCAGGGCTAAAAAAATATTAAATAAAATTTTAACTATAATGTCATAGGTAAGCAAAGAATAATGAAATACAGCTCTTTATATTTAAATGAAATTTTACTATTGCCAAACAGGACTAAAAGAATATTAGTACTACTTTTGCACTAGAATTAAAAAGTTTACGATATACCACAGTAACATAACATTGCGTGTAGTTTTGTAAAATTGCATTTTGTTTATTTTTGACACACCAATGTTTAAAATAATAATTGAGGATAAATATTTGCATATTTTAAAATTTAGTACTAAATAAAAAATATTATGTACATATTTATTTAGACTGTCTTGAACACACACACTGCTGTAATAGTATTATTAAAATGTGGGGGCTCATACCCTTTCCAGTTAAGAAACTAATTATTCGGAAGTAGTAACTTAGAAAAATATTTTACAGTTATTAATTTTATTACTGTTAAAATTTTGCATTCCTTATAAATTTTTTTTTTAAAAAACAATTTCTGTTAAAACTACTTTAGAAATAGATAGAGGAACAAACAAAAGAGATTATGATTAATCCTATAACCAAAGTATTTATTTCTTTACATAATTTTTATTCTGTAAAATTTTTTAATAGCTGTTTGGTAAAAAATATCTAATTAAATATCATTGAATCTTAAAAAATATTACACATCAAACACTAAAAAAGGCACACATATACCAGTCTTTAAATTATTTAATTTAGAATGCAAATGCATACCCTCCAACTGCTACGGAATTTCCGTAGTTTCAGAAATCTTCTTTTCAGACGGTAGCAAAATTAATGTCTTAATATTTAAAAAAAATTAATTTTAGCGTAACTTGTCCACTATTACTTATAAAAGTGCAGGCCATATGGCTAGATTCTTAAGTTCTGATAAAAGTTTTATGACAGATCCATTTGCTTTAAAAATTTCTACTTTGGTTCGCTACCACTAGAAAGAATTATTTTCAAAGTCCTCATAAGTTGGAGGGTATTATATTCATTAATTGCATTAATATTCATCAAATGCATTATATTCTCATTATTTTCTCAAAGCGTTGCTGCCTGCAGGGCAGGCATCAAGGCAGCCTGCCCTGCTGCCCTTTGAACCCTATAAATGTGCCCTCTTTGTACAAATAAACTACCATTCCTTAAAAACACTGCCCTCTTATTTATATTCAATTTTGAAAAAAATTATCTGTGTCTACGGATTTAATTCTTATTACTACTATTACAAATATTTACTTTGTTAGGATTATTCTCAACTCATTAGATTTTTTTTAAAGCATATTTTTTTTGAAGGGAAATTATATTTAAAAATCTTAAAGTCAACATTAGTCTAAATTAAGCTTTCTATTTCTGGAACATTGGCATTTCAAGGGTTCTACTTTTAGATTTCAAGTGATTCATTGAGTCATATGTTGTGCATTACATTCAGTTTGCACAATGATACTTATTTAAGTTAATAATGATGTTTGAATGGAAAAAAGGGAATGTAAATGTTTAGGATCAACTTCTTTTGACACGAGTCTGCAAGTAGCTGATAATAGTGACAGTATTCTTAGAAAGTAATGTAAGATATGTATTCTTTTGAGTGTTTTTCTTTTGTTGAAATTAAAACTACTAGACAGAAATAGTTTTTCCTTTCTGATTCTTGCGATTTATTTTACTTTCGTGATACCGTTAAGTGGGGCTACTTTGTGCAGTGGTGGCTACTTAGTGCAAATTCAAATTTGGCACTTTTCAAGTGCTGCTATTCAGTATTACGCTTTTTTCACAATAAAAATGTATGGAATTTGAAGATAGAGGTCTCCTCTATTACTATAAAAAAAATTTCGAATTTTTAAACAATCTCAGAGTGTGTTTTGTCTATCAAATGTCAAAAACTTTCCGAGAACGTCGAAAGTGTGCGTGGAAACTGTAGCTGTGAAATGCAAAGACGTTGATAAAACAATTGTCGTAAATGCAAAATATTTTATTTATATATATTAATAAACAATTATATCATGTTAGCGTTAAAAAATTTTGAAAATTTATAACAAATAAACGGAAAATGAAAAAAAAATGCACTTTGGGGCTACTTTGTGCAAAAAGTTTCATTAGTTTTTTTTTTCGACAGAAAAATGGTCAGACGTTATAAAAAAAATACCTGGAACAAGAAACTACCGCGATTACACTTTAGAAAAGTTGCAACAATCTTTGCAAGCAGTTGCTGGTGGTATGTCGATTGCAGAAGCTTCTCGCAAGTACAAAATCCACAGAAATACTATTGATAATAAAATTTACAAGAAACACGTGAAACGTGCTGGTAAACTATTATTTTTCTTCTACAAAGATTTTTCTAATGAATTAATCTAATGATTTAATGCATAAAAATATATTTTCTAGGACATCAGGTGATTTTGACAGAAACTGAAGAGCAAGTTCTGTCATGTTCATTCAAGCATGTTATGTTCAAATTTATCATTATAAATGTTAATGAATATGTAATAATTATTATTTTTGAAATTTCATCCATTTTAATGTTCAAAAATGTATATGGTTTCCTTTTGTTTAAACTCAAATGTTTTGAAATAAACATTCTTTTTAAGAAAAAATTCTTTATAAAAAATGGGTTTTTTAACGCTGAAAATTATTTTCAAACTAATATCTTTACATATGTTGATGTTTTTGTTATTAAAAATGTCAACAATTAACTTTTTTAACAATTTTATATCAATATTTTACTAAAAACATGATTATTAAACTGAATTCATATCGCTACACAAAGTAGCCCCACTTGGGGGCTACTTTGTGCAAGGTATTGACTTATTATTTGTACATATCACATAAAAATAATGCCAATATTGATCAAATTCACTCATCTGAGTCAAGTTATGAATATAATATCGATAAATTTTACCAAAGCTTGAATTAACATAGTTTTTTTACAGGTCAAAGTTCAAAAACTGCAAAATCCTGCACAAAGTAGCCCCACATGACGGTACATTTGCTGTCACCAACTGAGAGATAGAAAAAGCATTTCTTAATTTATTTGTCTCAAAAAATTTTTCTTGCTCTTAGTAGCACCATGTCTAAGAGATGAATAATGACACAAAAATGGCCTTATTCGAAACATTTTCTGATTTAGATTTGGAAGACTTAGATATATGTCAGTTATAGCCTGATGAACCCAGAAGTTTTAATTGACATGGAAAACATGCAAAATAACTCATCGCCTGTTATTTCATTCTACGTTTGTAGAATAGTTTTTAAAAGTAATATTGGAGGAGATAAAATGAGAAATCAAATCCTAGATTCAAGTGCAAATAAAATAAAATAAAAGTAAACGCCCTATGAAAAAAAATCGAAAAAGTGAAATTTGATGAGCCAACAAAATTGAAAAACCACAAGAGGAGTATAATTCCATTGAATTATACTCATCGTGATATTCTACATATTTTCCAGAATGCTTTTTAAAATATGCCAAGAGGAGTATAATTCCATTGAATTATGCTCCTCTTGATGTATTTTTAAAAGCATTCTCGAAAATATGTAGAATATCTCACCAATATATAATTATTTAATGCTTAAAAAAATTCATATTTTCTCAAAATGTTATTTCATATTTCCTTCGACTTCTAAGAAGAGGGATACCATCTTGTCCCGACTGAAGATATGTACTGGAATGCAGTTGAATCTTGGATGTCACTGTTAAAAAAGCTCCTGCTAAACGACAATGTTTCAAAAAATGGGACATTCTTAAAAACGCACATTTACTTTTAAACCTAAATTTTTATTTCACTGCTCTTAGTAGTAGTTAGATGCTCTTTAGTAGTGAATTTATCAAATTTAAAGTTATTTGGTTTACTCTTTTTTACTTCAGTAGGTATTTAAATGGTTAACTTGAAATATTATTACAGTTCAATCACAGATATCTAGAGTTTTCGAAGTAAATGTTTTATAGCACATTACTTATTAATCAAAACAGCAAATTTAGAACTGTAAAAATTGCATATAGATACAACAAAAAAGAAACTGCAGTATACATATTATTATGATACAAACAATAAATTCACAGATAGATGGATCTTTACACTAATTGTTTATCCAATGAATTACCTAATTTCACCAGTAAATGCTCCACTTGGAACTTTATAACAGTTTTGAGAAGCAACTTTAACATTGTTAGGCATTTTAGAAACAGCATAAGCCATATAAATACTAGGACATCCCACGACAACCTCTAAATAATAAATATATTCATGTAAATACCAATACAAGCTCCAAACAGACACAAATTTAAACATAACAATACATAAATATAAGATTTACATAATTTTCAATATTAAGTCTTTTTCCACTAAATTAAGATTATTTTCCCAACTTGAAAAGAAAAAACAAGAAGGTTTAAAAAAAAAAAAATCTATTTGAAGAATCTAAATTAAGGTTTTTCATAATTACATTTGATATTACACACCAATAAAAGAAAATGCAAAATTTATGCCCATAAATTAATTCTATTATTTTAAAAAAACTTTTCTGAAGGCATGTATAACAAGAAAATGCAAATTAAGAGCAAATTATAGTCAAGAAAATGCAAATTATAGTCACACAAAAATAGTTCTGGATACCAATTCACAACACAAATCAAACTGTCATCTACTACAGGATAGAATATAGGAATCACAATTCAATGAAATACGTATGATCATTATTAGTTTAATTTATAAAAATATATTTCAAAATGCTATTTTTCGAAACCGGTGAATACTGTTGCATGCAGTTACAAATGATATTTTTAAGTATAACTAAATTAATAAAAACAATTAAGCAATAAGACATTTTAGACACCAATTACGTACTAATAATATGTAAGCAAATGTTTGAGAAACATTTAAACCTTGTTAATATTCTGAAAAATATTGTTACTAATTATCAATGCCATATGTATATGACATTGATAAGAAAATTTAACACAATTATTATTATGAATAGCCTTCTCATAACAAATTATAATAAAAAAATACATATTCGTAGGTTATAAAGAAATTAAAAAGCATTTATCAATGAAGTAAGACTCCTAGCTAGGGGAATTTACAGAAACACACTTGAAAAATCTAGTGAGATGGGTATTTGCTGAAAAGAAACAAGGTTCAACCCTTTTGCTGTAATTATTAAAACTCAATTGCTTATAACATAAAATTCGAGTAAAAAAACATGAAAATTATAGGCGATTAAACGGATATGGTTGCTATATTCCCTCCCCAATATTCAATATCGCTAAAATTCTGATGTGATTAATATATGTTAATTTTTACTTACCGGTGTTTGGGTCAAGACCTGATGACATAAATTTGGCGATTCCATCAATACTACTCTTGCTTCCATTCATCTTCCAGTTTCCACCAACGAAAAATTTTCGGTCAGACATGACCTGAAAACATGAAAAAAAATAATTTATAAAACTTACGGAGTAATATTGAAAATCACCTAATTACCAAAACATTAAAATGAAAGAAACAAATTGAATTCTCCTTCTAACGTAATTTAGAAAGTTGAAAACGGAAAAGATTTCTCACTTTTTATTAAATAGCACAGTAAAGGAAAGAAAACTAATTTTCAATAGAGTTGGCTGTCAAACTTATCGGCCTCGGTCACCCTCAGGAGATTCCAAACACTGACAATTCCGAAACGTGCGAAGGTCAACACAATGACATGTCACCCTCACTTGATGCCACCGGAAAAAGAGAAATTTATATTTTAGCGTGATTGGCTGAATTTCAACACACCTCTGATCCAATAGCCAATAAATATGAATTTGGTAAACCGGCAAATGCGCTTTTTGTTTCTGTTTTTAAATCACAAAAATTTTCTAAAATACTACTAAAATTAAATTAGTAAACAATTTTAAAATTATTCGATAACAATAACGTTAAATAAAGGCTTGTGAAGACTGTGAATTTTCAGCATTGATGGGTTATAAGTTACTAAAGAACCGAAACTATAAAAAGATTTTCGGTTCAAGCGGACGATAATATTCTCGAAACTTAAAAATTGTCTTAATATCTACACACATTTTAAAATAATATAGATAAATGCTAGAAGATTCAGCCCAAAGTTCTTGGCTTTCAAACGCTGAAAACGCTTGTAACTTCTTATATATAGTTCTTATCAGATTGTTTACCTTATTCCTCTCATCTCCCTGACCTACAGTGGCAATAATACAAATTATCCATAGGTAAATAAATATATTAAAAAATCGAAGCGAACATCCTAAAAATTTAACTGCTGTAAGTTGCTTATGGAATTCGAATTTTATCTTTTAACTTTCTTTTAATAGTGTCACAAAAACAGCCAATATATTTCAGTTCAGTTACATTACATAACATTTCAGTTACAATATATTTTTAGAATTTGCTTTAAAAAAAATTTTAAAATTGTAAAAGCACTATTCAGCAGATTTTGTAACTGAATTTAGCTAAAAATAAAATTGCGAGAAAACTTCTAGGTAGGGAAAAAAGAAACGGTTAACTCACTCTCTTCAAACGAAGAAATTGGCATTTTGCCAAGGAAGAAGAGGTCATGTTGATAGAAATCCTAAGTTAAGAGCCAAAGATGAAGATTTTAAAATCTCTTTATATTATTTTACTTAATATTGATTCCACCAATTTAAGAATAAAGTAAAAATTAAATCAATGAGTGTTCTATGACCTTTTTTTTCCTGCCAAGAAAAGAAAGGGGGGATACAAATTTTCAGCATTATGGAAATGAATTTCATTAATAAACACCGAAAACATAAAAAAAAGAAGAAAAAATATCATAACAATTATGCAAATAAATAACATTTATATGCATAACCAATTAAAAAAGAGAGGATAAAAAAAGAATAAGAAATATTCTAAAAAAACAAGGACGTACCAACCAGACAAGACGTAAAAATCTTTTTTAATTCTACTGTTGTTAGTTTTTCCCTTACATCAAGAAAGCCTAAAAGAAAAATAATAATACCTTTGAAATAACAATAACGTACTAGTTATGCTTAAACTATCATCATTACTAATTGCGTAAATTAACAAGGTGTATTTTTCCAACTTTTAATCGAAAAAGCAATAATAAAATTATGGCTTTTAAATCAATAAATTATGCTTATAATTGACTGAAAATACATATTAAACAAGAAATATTGACAAGTATCATAAATTTTTATTTATTTACGACTTGCTTTTAAATATTTCATAAGGATATGATTTGAAAGGCAAATTACTGAATAATTTTTTTCAGACAAACATGCTTTTTAAAGAAATTGATTAAAAACAGAATAAAATGGACTTGCGAGAAATTCATTTTTAAAATTTTATGTTGCCATCGCATCTGTCTATTTTAGAACATTTCAAAATCAATCATCTGTGCTGAAATCGGTAATTTTCGCAATCCCTCGTAACAAATCAAGTTTGACTTATTTTATAAATAGAATCAAGTCTCAGTTTGTTTCATTGAATAGTTCGAATATGGAGTCATTAATTAGCCTTCGTATCAGAATGAGACTTACTTGCTCTTCGAACTATTATTAATGAACTGGGATTGACATTGAAATAAATATTTGACGTTTTCTTTACGAAATTTATATCTATATTCCAATCACAATATAGAACCTATTTCATTATGTTTAGTGTCATTAATTCTTTATAAACTTCTGCTTATCAAACATGGAATTCTGTGACAGAGGCATAGAGAACAACGCCCATATTTCGACGTAAATAACCCTCATAAGATTTACCTTGAACTCCGCAAGACGCATTGTTCCATAATGGCACGAAGGTTAACCTTTCAGGTTTCGTTTTTGAGGGATATATCTGCATTTTTCAATCTCCGAATTTACATTAATACATTAATAACGACAAGTAGTAATCACAGTACTTATATGCATTAATTCTTCATATGTTTTGTTTTTAGTTCATGTTAAAAAGGTACGAAGTGTTTATTTTAATACATTAATTAAACTATATTAATCTACTGTATTCGGTTAAAGAAACCTTACATTTGATGGAAATAATGAAATGAATCGGAATGAAATTTTTGTTAAGGTGGGAAATATTTTCCTAGCATGTTAAGATTATAATTCTCCCTTTTTCTCGTGTTAATTTGAAGTTTATAAATTGAACTTCATGTGTGTTCAAACCTTTTGCTAGAATAATGTTATAAACGTAATTGCAACCAAGATAACTTAAAAGAAGTAAAAATAAAAAAATAATTAAAAAAAAACAGAAAAATAAAAGAAAAGAAAAAGAAGCCTTTCTTCATGTTAAATATAGATGATATTACAAGCAAATTGTTGCTAACTGTTTACAAATAACTTGTTCATGGAAAAAATCCCATATGATTTTTATAGTGGGGGTTTAAAAAAAATTCCATTCTCCTCATTTTAAGGTTTTTCTTACTAGCGTAATTTTTATATTCATGATTTTTTTTTTCGTTATTTAAGATTAAATAAATAAGTATCTCGTATTTATAAAGCAATGCCTTAAAAGTTTGAATAAAAATTTATTGAAAAATATCTGTACAAAAATTCATTGTATGTTATATTAATGTTCATTGTATGTAAATAGATATTAATGTTTGAATAATAATTAATATATAACTTCTTTACAAAATGAAGCATAGTCCATACTAATTTCTCCATTATTTTTATATTTTGAACAAAATCAGGGCTGGTAAAGGAATTTTCCCGACCGATGGGGGGAAACGTCTTGAAAAAGGAGCATAAATGAATTTTACAGATACAGTTTAAACATTTCCCCAAAGAGATAACACTTGACGTTTCCGCAAGCACCATCCGCAGCCAAAATTTGAAAACAATTTAAATTAAATACAACTTTTCTTAAAAAATGCGATAAATGCAGTATCTACCATTTGTAGCAGGGGTAAAAAGCGGCAAGCTACCGTCTCACTCACCACAACTCATGAGAATCTAAATTTACCACAATCAAGTATTTTTCTTCAGCACTGTTTTTTTTTTCAAGGGCAGCAAAAACTTTTTTACCACACCTAAATTAAGTACCTTGCATTTTTTGTCCCTATTAAAATAACACTTAATTTTGAAATACCAATCCTCTCACATGTCGTTCACGTCGATTATTGAACTTGCCTAACATAATAAACAAAGATGAATTAAATAATAAAGAACGAACAAATAAACTCTTTTCATTGAATGCAATTGTAAACTAGGAAACATCTTTGATATTAACTTTCAAATAGTAAAAAAAAATATCATCTGCAGTTTAATTAATAACAATGACTAATGATAATGGCTCATTTATTTTTCACACATCTCCTCGATTCTAAACGTACTAACTAATAGAACCTTTTAAATGAGTCTTAGGATGAGTCGTAAACGCTACTTGTAGGATGCAACTCGTGGACGCTGTTCAAATTTCACTGCCCTAGTAGAAATGGTTTCGGAGTTCTAAGAGATTCGACACAGTGGATCAACAAAAATACTGAGCGACCATGGAAGAAAAAAAAGCTGGAAAAAATTCGAAGAAAGTTGTGCAGCTTAAAATGTAAATTTGGGTAAAGCACCACTCTCAGACATAGAGGACATCGGATACCTGCAGGTGTAAGTAAATCGTGGCATTTGAAGATTCAGAGTCCTACGTCGCTTAGAGATATCCATTTATATCTGATTTAAATCACATGTTAGGCATAATCACTTTACTTCTTCTCGAGTTGCAAATAATCAATGAACGATTTTGTTCCGCCTCGTCAAGCATGAAATTAGTTTGTAGATTTATTAAAAAAATATTTTGTAAAAGTGTATCTATGCCTGAAATATCTTAATAAACGTGAATAAATGAATAAAAATATTCACATTCATAGAAATACCTGTCTGCTGTGGAATCGCCCATAGGTCAGTAAAAAGAATGAAGTACTCACTTAAAAGTTTGAAAATTTATTCTAAACAAATAGAATTACGTGAAACAAAGTATAAAATAATAATTACACTAATAAATTTCTTGAAAGTTTAACAAAAAACACAGGAGTGGTATTTCAAAATACAAAACTTTCATTTATTTATTTTTTTGAAATAAAATTACATTGTCCTTTAATTGAAATAAATTATTCAGTTCAAATAACATTTAGTTTTAGTATTTTTTTCCTGCTAATTATTTTTCGAAAAAAAATATACATAATTGCTAAAATATATAATAATGGAAGCAAGCTAGGTAATTTACATTAATCATAAAAGTTTGATAAGCAGGTGTTGCATTTATCAGCAGCTACTAGATAAACATCTAAGTGGAACATGTAGCAAATAAATCTGCATAGATCTTTGTGTCGGTGGGAAAAAGCTGTTCTCTTCTTGTATTCTAATTGTGTTCTGATTCGTTTATTCAAATCAATGTAACAATGTATTGTTTATAATTATCACGCTCGTTAAAATTTAAGTTTATTTATTCGATGTTATTGGTATCGACATTTCTTTATCCAATTTAATTTCTTTTATTTCTTTATTCAATCGATTTTTTTTTATTACACCCGAGTCCTAGAAGCATAGTGTCACAAAAAAGTTGACCATAAATATTTTGCTGTTACAGTGTATAATGCAATTACTACAGAGGTATACAGCAATCCAAAATGATCGTCTAGTTCGGTTTAGATTACCAACTGGCGGCCCGCGAGCCTCTACCGGCTAACGAACTAAAATATATTAGTTGTTTTTTTGCGGACAATTTTCGTAATA